CCCTGATGGGATGTAAGTGATGCTTTCCCTGGGCTGTGGCCTGAAGCACCTTTTCTCTTACAAAGATGATAAGAGAGAGAAGCGAGCCAAAAGGATGGGCCTTGACTATCGCCGAGAAAGAAGCCTTGGCAGCAGATCACGTCCGTTGGATCTGGAGTGCCTGTGTTAAGGACCTCCTAGACCCAGGCAAAGATGGACGCCAAGGCATCTGGAAGTCTCCAAGGACTGCTGAGCCCACAGATGTTGAGAGGAGACAGGGACCCTCCCACCGAGGACCGACAGTGAGGAAAAGCCTCTCCTATGTGCAGGGCCCCTGGATTCAGATTTCTAGTCTCTGTGACGGTGAGAGAAGACCTTCCTGTTTATGAAAGCCACCCTTGAGACATTCCTGTGTTAGCAGCGCTGAAAAGCTGAAACAGCCACCAAACGGAGGGGCATGTGTGCGCGCGCGGGTGTGCACGTGTGCACACTCCTTCTCATAAACCCACTGCTTCGTTTGGAGCGTGATGTGAACTTGCTTCTCCGGGTGACTCAGAATAAGGCAAGAGAGTGGGGCTGACAGACAGCTCCCCACAGACACCCAACTTTCCCCTCAGAGAATGGCGAGGTTTACAGCTCCGTGGTAAAAATAGCTTCTTGTGCAGCTTCGCCAGGAAGAGACTTAGAAAGGGAGGAAGGATTCGTTTGCTAAAATAGCAGCAGTCTGCCAAATTGCTAGTGCCACTTTGGAACTGGTCCCGGCAGAATATGCCAGGGCACAGAAAGATGTCCCTGCCCTCTGAACCAGCCGCTCCCTGCAGAAATAGACTGGCCTCAGAGGAAAGCTCAGCGCACAATGATGACCAGCAGAGGGTCGTCTGTAGTACCGAAACACTAGATGCGAGGTCCACAGGGCGAGGGGCCAAGCGGAGCCTTGGTGGCGCCCAGTCAGTGCTAGTCTGCGAACGGAAAGATCAGCATGGCGATCTGAACCCACCAGCCCCTCTGATCCCATAAAGCCCACAGCCTTGGAAACCCTATGGGGCCGTTCCACCTGTGCTATAGGGTCACCCTGAGTCAGAATCAACTCAACAACAACGGGTTTTAAGGGCAACAGTCAGGAACCCAACACAAGCTCGAACACCCACGCTCCAGTCCTGTGACAACCTGTGAACCCCAGCACTGCCCTGGAGTCCGACACTGAGGTCAGAGTGTCTGTTTCACGAAGTGCTGTGACTTGAGCTGTTGTCACCACGGCCCCAAAGGCATGTTGAAGTCCTGACCCCCTATACCTGTGACCACCCCCCTCTTTGCAGGTGCCATCAGCATGGCTGGCACAGGGTGGCCTGGATCCTGCCTGAGAAGACAGGAGATGCAGACAGACACAGGGGAGGTCAATCATGTGTAGATGGCGGCCGAGGTTGAGGCAATACCTTCATGGGCCAAGGAAGCCCCAACGTTGTTGTCCATCCCAGCAGCTGGGAGACCTGGGACACCCTTCTTCGGGGCCCTTGGAAGGGAGCAGCATAGCTGACGCCCTGACTGGAGTTCCAGACTCCAAAATGGTGACACCATCAAGCCCCCCAGTTTATAGAGTAACCCCATCAACAACACCACCGCCTCCCCAGCTTATGGCAGCTGTTACACCAGCCTTGCAGTACATTCGCACCGGGAGCTGTGCCATCCTCCTGTGAGTTAGTAAGCGGACCCTCGTAACTCAGTGTGTAAGGCGATGTTCAGGGCAGTGTGGACACACAGGAGAGCCGCACCGCAGAGCCGATGTGCTGGGGAGGCTTCCGAGAGGAAGGGACTTTTAAGCTGAGCTACAAAAATTAGTGGTGGTTGACCAGAAACAGCAGGGGGAAGGGTGCTCAAGACAATAGGGTCAAAGGCATCCCAGCAGTGCAGGCAGAGGGGCTGTCTATCCCTGTCACAGCGTGTCTGTCTGTCTGTCTGTGTCCACACCCATCCGCGCAGGATGTACTTAAGTCCATCAGTCCGTGGAAACTGCGGAGTGGACCCTGGAGTGGAAGGAACAGGCCCTGTGAACAATTTGAGGTCTTTCCATCGCTGACCACAAAGAAATGGAGCCGGAGATCCCATGGCAGAACTCTGCAAAGGCCAACAACTTCTTCGGGAACCCTGGTGGTGTAGTGGGTATGCGTTGGGCTGCTAACCGCAAGACCAGCAGTTCGAAGCCACTAGTTTCTCAGCAGGAGAAAGACAGGACTTTCTACTCCCGTGAATGGTTACCGTCTCAGAAATGCACGGGGGAAGCTCTGCCCTTTCTTGTGGGGTGAATGTGAGTCAGAATCGACTCGATGGCAGCGCTTGAACGACTTCTTCATTGCAAACGGCGACTCGTCACGCGGACCTGCCCAGGTGGACCACCCAGAAACCAGACAGGTGGAGGAGCTCAGCAGCAGCAGCCGAAACCAGGCTGGTGCCGACTAGGGAACAGACCCCCACGTGCCTCGATTGCACATATGCAAGCTCAAGTTGAAGCTGAAGACAATTGAAAACAAGGCTGTGGGGGCCAAATTGTGCCCCAAAACCCACCTGTTGGATCCGGTGTAGCAAGAGTTCCACAGCCCACCCTCCTCTCGTGGTTATAACAGATTATGACCAAGAAATTCACCCCAATAAGGAGTCTCAATGATAAGGGAGGGGACAGTGGGAGACAGATGTCAGTGGGGCATTGGAGAGGCAGGACCCTCAGTGTGCACTCTGTGGGGGCCCGTGACCCTGGGTGAATCTCACTTCCTGCTGGCAGGGGCTCCCCACTGCAGCAGGTGTCAATCATTGAGTGTCCTGCTAGCTTCTTCCTGGTGGATGCTGGCTCCTCCTCGTTCTTGACGCCTCTGGGTCTCTGCTTTGGACCACTGGCGCCTTGTATTATGAATGCCCTGGGCATATGCTTACCTTGCTTACTGGGGCATCTGACCCTCACCCAGCCACCTGCCTTAGCCACACAGAGGTGATGGATGGCCTTTGTGACTTGGCTTCCTGTAGACAGCTGTGGCCAAGCAGGCTGGAATAGACAGCTCGTCCACGCACATATCACGCGGGGGTCCTTCACTATTCCCAGGGTGCCCTGCCTTCAGGCCCATCTCCAAAACCCCTGGCTTTGGTACCCCTAGGTCCAGGCTGTGTTAGCCTGGGGCACAGGGTGAGTTGACACCCACCTCTGAGCCTGGGAAGCTGGCAGCTGGCAGGGACGAGGGGCATGCATTGAATGCTCACACAGCTATCCCATGACTTAGATGCAATGGCCAGAGGGCAAGACTAGGCACTGTGAGGCCAGCCTCAGGTGAGGAGAGGCCCGCCCGGGGTGAGGGACATGGTGGCTATGAGCGGATGGATGAGCCATTGGGAAGGGGAAGAGTAAAGGCTGGAGTGTCAGAGAAGTCTTTATGGTTAATGTGAAAGACGTGAGCCTGTTCAGATGTTGAGGGACAGCGCCTGGGAATAGGGCATCCCCCGGGGAGCTCCCACAGCCTGCTCTGATCCCAGCAGTCTCAGTGTGAGGGACAGGGAAGGCGCAGGACGCAGTGGCCGACGGGCGTGACTTATAAAGAGCATGTAGCGCTATGCGACGTGCTCGTGAAATGACACAGGCAGTACTACGCATTGCAGATCTCCCATGCTAACCACGGAGACATACCTAGGACAGCGGGAAATGTGGGGTGGCTGTTTCTGGGGGTGGGGGGCATGGCTGGGTTTCATTCGGCATGGTTCAAAATTTGCTATTAATGAGAGAGGGTATTTCCAGGGGCTGCTGCCACAATATCCCCAAACTGGGTGGCTCATAAGGGCAGCAATTTGCAGGCTGGTGGCTTGGAGGCTGCTGTGCTCTGGGACACTCTGTCCCCACTGCCCTCCCTGCACTGGTGGTCCCATGGGACCCACGGTTGCTGCTGCAGCATCACAGAGCATGCTTGCAGCCTGTCTCCAGAATCCCCTCCTTTACGAAGACCCGGCTACTCCAGCAGGACCTCACGCTAACCTGATGGTAAACCCATGGCCATCAAGTTGGTTCGGACTCTTAGCTACCCAACAGGGCAAAGTTTCCAAGATTTTGAACTGCTGACCTTGTGTGGTGAGCAGCCCAGGGTACAACCCATTGGGCCGGCAGGGCTCTCAACTTAGTGACCCTGTCCTAACAGGGTCGCTTACCAATAGAGGGGCTAGGACATCCCTCTCTCCTTTGGGGGGCTGTACTCAACGATGGAACAAACGGAGTCCCTCGGAGGCATCCCCACCCCACCCCTGGCCGAGGCACAGTGAACTTGGGCAAACCCCATTCTTCAAGGACCCGGGTCCCCGTTTACAAGAAGAGGCGAGGACCAAAACACCATTTGTCCACGTGCGTTCCTGAGAGGGAAGGACTGTGTGGGCAGCTAGTCTTGGGGAGCCCCCGTGGTGACCTCCCACCAGGCCTCCGAACCTAGGAGCTGTTCCCTGGGTGGGCCTCACTATAATTTTTAGGGTTCAAACCACAGGGCCATCAAGACTCGACTGCGGGTACTCTCCTAGGCCTTCCTGTGTCGGGGACAGATGGACCCCATAATGCGGGGGAATAAGAGGCTAGGCCGCTGGGCTGGCCAGCTGCCCTCTGCCTCCCGGAGCCTCCCTGCCCAGCAGAATGCGCAGACAGTTTAGGTGCCTGCTAAGTGCTTGGCCCTGGGTGCTCTTCGAAGGTCGGTGGGCGAGCTCTAAACTCCGAGAAGCGGATCCCTGTGGTCGGTTGGGAGTTCCACCCAGAACGCAGCGACTGTGGGCAGAACAGGCGTCTCCACCCACACGTTCCTCTGCCCCAACGTGGCGCCTACAGACCTCTCCCCGACCCCATCTCGCTATGCCCACATCTATTAGTCCTAAAGATTGCTGCGTGTGTGCACCTACCTTTGTGCGCGTGCACAACCACGTCGGCCAGCCCCTGGGCCCGGAACGAAGGGGAAGCCTTGATCTCACCCAGCGTGCAGACTGTACCCGCAACAGAGCCTGGCGCAGCCCACGCCTCATTTTAAATATTTTAATTCGTATACTTTCATAAACGTGGTCTATAGGAAATCCACCGCTGTGGTTTTATTTCGTCATCGAATATATGTGATAACAGGTACATACCAATGCCAGTTCCTGGCCTGCCCACTGTGCTACGCAACCAGTGTTGCCGAGCAGACCCGGGCTGTTGGTCAGCTGGCTGGGGACGGGCATGCAGCTGGGGCTGGGGTTTGAAGCCGCCTACCTGCTGCTTTCCTGTTGACAGTCTGAGAGGCAGTCCCCAGTGTAAACAGCAGGTCTTAATCTGTCACATGAGCGACATGCCTAAGGCCTTCGTGACAAAGTTAGGCTGCAGATGACAGGTGACTCTACCAGCCAACCTGGCCACCCGGTGGGAGGAGCCGTCCCAGGGTGCTTCCTGGGACCCTGCTGGGAGTTCCCAGGCTGGTTCACCGTGCACTTCAAACTCATCTTTCTGACTTGGTCTACACTTGGTTTTAAAATACAAAAATACAACGTCCATCAGCATGGGGCAGGAGAGCCTAGCCTGGTGTGCTTCTTCGGAACCGCTAGCTCCCTGTCCAAGCACAACCCTGCACCAGGCCGGCTGGGCTGCTACCCGGAGGAAGGTGCTGGTTCCGTGTCTTGACCGCTTGTGGGGCAGCGAGCAGGGGGGGTGGGGGGTGGAGGACACCAGCCACATGCCCTCCCCCTGAGGGGCTACTCTTGGTTAGGCAGGGCTGTCCCAGGGGGAGTGCCCCCTGGACCAGTCAGTCTGCAGTAGATGAGAAGGATGCTGGCACCCACCCCTCCACACCGCGCTTCCTCATCAGGCTCATCCCTGTCCCGCCCCCAAGGGTTATTGAGATCTTGGAAATGAGAGCCTAGAACCCCTGGCTGTGTGTCCCCCGACTCAGCTGTGCTGACCAGTTTCTCTCTTCCTGCTCAACCAACTCACCCCAGAGGGCCCACCGCCCGGCGATTCAGAACCTCATTCTGTCCTCAGTGCCCCACTCAGCAGGCCAGGCAGGCACCCGCGAGACGACACACAAGGTTTTGGAAGGCATTCTGTGACCATTGCAGAGTTCATAGAAAAGTGACCAGGCCTGCGCTGGCAGCCTGGTCTGTGGGTGTAACGTAAACCTTGGGGTCTTTGTTGACGGCCCCCCCAGTGCTGTCCCATACGTGTAGCAGAGGCAACGCCCACCATTCTCCAGGTGAAGGGAGCTGTCTGAGGGCACCTTTTTCCTGAGGTTTGGGAGACGCTTGATAACAGGGCAGGAATCACAGTGACCAAGTGTAGTGGGAGTCTGTGTCTGCAGGGGGTGGGGTGGGCGGGGGGCCCAGGACCTCTGGCCCCCATGCTTCGTTGGGGGCTAGATGACCCGCCACTGCATGATGCTTGTGTCCTTGCCGCCTGTGGAGATGAGGTGGCTGTCTGTGTGCAGGAAGTCCACGTTGGTGACGTGACTGCTGTGCCCGCCATACACGTGGCTTGGGGCCTGGAAAAGAGCAACAGAAAGAAACGCGTATCATATGAACCAGACCGTGCCCGGCTACCGCGTGTTCTAGAATGATAGGAAAACATGCCATACGAACTAGACCGAGCCCGGCTACTATGTGTTCTAGAACCACAGGAAAACACGCAATACGAACTAGACCGTGCCCGGCTACCGCGTGTTCTAGAACTACGGGACAACACGACATGTGAACTAGACCGTGCCTGGCTCCCAATTGTTCTAGAGGAGGGGTGAGTAGATTATCCCTCACAACCATTTAAAAATTATTCGAGAGCCATCTACAGATTTTTACAAACAAATGAAATCACCGTTATGTGAACAGTAGCCTTTAAGAATTTTACATGTTTTTTAAAAATGAAGATAAGATAGGCAGGATGAACAATCTGGGGGAGAAAACAACGGGACCAACGGTTCCAGGGGGACATGGATGAGGGGGAGGAGAAGGAAAGGAAGTGGTGTGAACAAGCCCACGGATAAGGGAACAGCAAGTGATCCAAAATCGGTGGTGAGGAGGGTGTAAGAGGCCTGGTAATGCTTGATCAAGGGCAATGTAGCTGAGAGGAATTACTGAAACCCAAATGAAGGCTGAGCATGATAGTGGGACAAGAGGAAATAGAGGAACAAAAAGAAATAGCAGAAAGAACTAGGAAGCAAAGGGCATTTATAGAGGTCTACATACAAGCATGTACAAATATATTTGTATTTGATGATGGGGAAATAGATCTATGTGCATATATTTATAGGTTTAGTATTAAGGTAGCAAATGGACATTGGGCCTCCACTCAAGTACTCCCTCAATGCAAGAATACTTTGTTCTATTAAACTGGCATTCCATGATGCTCACCTTCGCAGCACAATCGCTGAAGGTACATAAGCAAATGTGGTGAAGAAAGCTGATGGGGCCCGGCAATCAAAAGATACAGCGTCTGGGGTCTTAAAGGCTTGAAGATAAACAAGCGGCCATCTAACTGAGAAGTAACAAAGCCCACATGAAAGTAACACACCAGCCGGTGTGATCATGAGGTGATGAAGGGATCAGGTAGCAGGCATCAAAGAACGAAAAAATCATATCATTGTGAATGAGGGGGAGTGCAGATTGGAGACCCAAAGCCCATTTGTAGGCAACTGGACATCCCCTTATAGAAGGGTCTCGGGGAGGAGACGAGCCAGTCAGGGTGCAGTGTAGCAACGATGAAACATAAAACTTTCCTCTAGTTCTTTAATGCTCCCCCCCCACTATCCCCCCCCACTATCATGATCCCAATTCTACCTTACAAATCCCGCTGGACCAGAGGATGTACACTGGTACAGATCAGAGCTGGAAACACAGGGAATCCAGGACAGATGATCCCTTCAGGACCAGTGAGTGGTGAGAGTGGTCATGCTGGGAGGATACCGGGAGGGTAGGGTGGAAAGGGGGAACCGATTACAAGGATCTACATAAAACCTCCTCCCTGGGGGATGGACAACAGAAAAATGGGTGAAGGGAGGCATCAGACAGTGTAAAGCATGACAAAATAATAATTTATAAATTATCAAGGGTTCAGGAGGGAGAGGTACCGTGGGGAGGGAGAGGAAAAATGAGGAACTGATGCCAGGGGCTCAAGTAGAAAGAAAATGTTTTGAGAAGGATGATGGCAACAAATGTACAAGTGTGCTTGACACATAGGATGGAAGTATGGACTGTGATAAGAGCTGTAAAAAAAAAATGAATGTTTTTTAAATGAAGACTTTCACACGTGAAACTATGGTCATTAAAGTTTCAGTTTTCCTTCAGGGCCACGTGTTCATTCCCAAAGAGCGGCAAGCGGCTTGGGAGCTGCAATTTGCCGACCGCTGTTCTAGAACAATGTTCCGTGAGAACTAGACTAGGCTAGCCACTCTTCCCGAACAATGCAGAGGAACGGAAGCTGCACACAAACTCAGCAGTGGCCCCCGACCAGGGCAGTGGGGTGGACCCTGACGCCATGGAAAGAAGCCAACCAGGATCAAACTGTGACCACATCCAGACTTCACGGAGGCCTCTCTGTGCGACTGTCCAAGGACCCGAGAAAGCTCACACGCAAGCCACTCCGAGGTCTCCTTTCAGCACCCTAACAGATTGGGTCATAAACGAGACTCGCCGCGGGAGGGCGGTGCCCCTGGGGAAGGCCGTCAACGCCGACGGGACACAAAACGCGTCTGAACTATGGAACGGAGAATGGATTTGCTCTGCAAACCTCCACTCAATGCGCGGGACGTGACAAAATTGAAAGCCAAGAAATTTTGCTACGTTTGACTGTGGCCAAAGGTCGGTGAATGGCACAAGTGAAAATTGCTTCAGAAAAACAGTATGAGTTTTAAAAAATTAAAAAAACCCAGAATGTATAAATAGTAAAAAAAAAAAAAAATCATCTACCTGAGACATCATGGGCCAGAATCTCCCCAAAGCAGTGATGACAGGTGGGGGCATGAAGGCAGGAGAGGGTGGGCCAGAGACAGGGCACTAGAGCACTGGAACGGGAGTAACCGGAATGGGGGCCTGCTGTGTAAACTATAACCAGTGTAGACTACACCGTCTGTTGCCACCTGGGCACCTAACTTTGCTGTGCCCACAGCTCACTGGACACACAATAAAACATTATCTTAAACAACCAGTGGTCAGCTCTTCCACGTGGTCCCGTCCACTGGGCACGGCCTCTGTGCCCCAGGAGGGGCTGGCCAGAGGATCAAGTTCAAAAAGGACGAGGGAGCAGGCCCTTCAGTTGACAGTGGAGGGTGAGCAAGGCTGGCAAGGTGCTGGGATTGAGCCGGGGGTGGTGGCTGGTGTGCTCGGCTTGCTTCTGCTCAGCCTGAGGTGGGTGGGCAAGCTGTGGGCACGAGGCTCACCCTGAACTGGGAGCAAGGGTAAGTGAAGAGGTGCACTTTGCCGAAGTCGTCTCCGGTGGACAGCAGCTTCTTCTCGTGGGCCCGGCACACGGCGTTGATGTCCGTGCCATCAGAGCCTTCTGGCCACACGCCTGCAGCAGAGATGGCAGTGAGCAGGGCCTCCCCCCCATTTCCCAGAGAAGAGAGGGCCGCAGGAGGGCCGCTCTGGCTCTCCACACCCCTCCCAGAAGCAGGGGCGGCAATGGGGGTCCTGTGACCCTGGGGGCTCGGGGTTCCTGCAGGGCAGAGCCCTTGGCCAGATTGACAGCTGGGGAGTTCCAGAGCAAATGGAGGGATACTCTAAAACTGGTCTGTCTTGCGTTTGAACACGGCGCCTGCAGAAAACGTACCAAAGACAGGGAACCCCAAAGTGCAGGTGTACGTTGCCCATTCAATGTCTCTTGTCGTCTCCACGCTGACGACCTGCTTACAGGCAGAGGGAACCCCTGGAAAAGCAAGCACGGGTCTGCTGACGACTGGGCCACAGTAGGAAGAACATGCTCCCTCCACATCCCCGGCCTCGGCTGAGCCTGCAGAGCTGCCCCATTGGCTGCAGAGTCCTCCCGAGGGGCCCTTTGAAGAGCCCCGTCACAGGGCCCGCTCACTGCGACAGCTTGCCCGACGCTAAGGACAAGCCTTGGGGGACCTTCAGGCAGTCCCCCTCCATCTCCTTCTGCCTTGGGAGGAAGCTGGGGGACAACTGTGCCCCAAGATTTTAGGGTAGGCCTTGCCTCCTCCTGTCCTCCCTCCTTCCCAGGAGCCGGAAGCCTCTGGATGTCCTGAAGGACTCGTGCCCTGGAGCCTGCCCGGCACAGTCACGGTTTTCGAGCCTGAACCCCCAACAACCTCCAGGCCGCTACTCACAGTACAGGATTTCGTAGTCTCCTGAGTTTGACACCAGGAACTGGGAGTTCACCGACCAGTCCAAGTGTGTGATAAAGCTGGAATGACCCTGGGGAGGGGACACCACAGTGGGGACCTTCCAGACACCGCTGTTCCCAGGTGGCCAGTGGACGCCCCCTTCTAGACACCCCCCCACGTACCCGACCTGCCAGTGGGCACCCCTTCCACACACCCATGCGCCCTGGCAGGCAGCGAGTGCCCCCTTCCAGGGGGCGGGTGGGCACACTTACCGAGCACTTGCCGATTCGAGTGTATTTCCTCCCGAGGTCGCTGACCCCGTAGATGTAGATGCAGTTGTCGTGGGAGCCGATCGCCAGGAAGTTCCCGTCTGGGAAAGGACAGAATCTCTCAGTCTGTGACCAGAGACGGCAACGCCCTGTCAGCTGTGGGGGTGGTGGGCTTTGGGGGGCAGGGGCTGGTCCCATCGCACAATGGCTTCGGAGAAAACCACCACTACATCCACGGGCAGCGAGTCCGCCACACTCTGTAGCCGCTGCTGGAGGGTACACACTGGGCAGACTGGCTCAGTAAGGCCCTGCCCAGCAGGCCCCACCGGCTCGGGGTCCAGGTTGGACCCCACCACCACCCTACCTGACCCTGACCCGGCTCCCCTCTCCTGAGCTCAGGTCTCAGGACCCAGGCCTGGATGCCTGGACTGACGAGAGCTGCTTCGCACAACCAGAGGCCAGACCCTGCTGAGTGCACCACCAGAGGGGCAGGTCTAGACGGTGCTCCACAGGGCCCACCTGAATCCCGGGGGCCCTGGACTGAAGGCAGAGCAGTGGCAGGGTGGGGGTGTCTTGGCACTGGCTCGATGCTTGTTCCTCCGCCCACGAGAAGCGACACAGGAAGCCACCCCGTGGACACTGACAGCTCCCTGGACAGCACTCACCCAGCCTCGAGGTGGCAGGGAGGTGCCCAGGCTGCCCTCCCCAACCCGGCCCTGCGTTCCCTCCCCCGGGAGACGCACTGTAGGACCTGTTGGCCAGGCCACTTAGAACAGGGGTGCTGACTGGAGAGTCGGTCTGTTCACGCTGGTCCCAGGATTCTAACACGGACAGACCCCATCGGCTACAGGCAGTTCTAGTGCAGTATTTCCCCGAGTGGCTGATAGCACCCCCTTGGGGAGCAATGCTGGGCCACAGAAACAGATACCTACACTTTATCCTGGATCATGGGCTACAGAAGTTTTTAATTGCTGGGGGGAAGGGGACCTTTCCTTTTTTCTTTTTAAAGGGGCTGCAGTCCAAATAAGTCTGGCACCTGTGCTCTGGGGAATGCCAGGGTGCCGTGTGACACCCCACATACCCCACCCTCAACTCCTCCAGCGGTGCTCACAGCAAGTCCTCACGGGGACCGTGATTACGACGGAGGTGACAGGGGCGGCTCTGAGGCTCACTGGGTGCTGCCCTCTCTCTCCCTGCATCGATGTGTGCGGCAGACAAGCTCACCCCGGTTTCCCGGAGAGGAAAGCGAGGTGCTGCAGAGGGGAGGGAGCTGGCCAAGGCCATAGGGTTTTCCAGAAGCTGTCCACACCCTGGAAAGGCCGACTCCCGAGCCTGACTTCCACGACAGAGTGGGGAGGGCTGGGTGAAGACCCACAGCGGGCAGCAGCTTGTGGGCAACACACGTTAGAAAAACAGCCCCACGGGGTGACCTCCTCGCCAGCCAGGTCCTGAAGCTCCAGGGCTCTTATGAGTCAGGGCCATTTGTGATTTTGCTAACAGGTTCAGGAAAACCGTGCTCATGATTCCAGGACAAAAAAGGCAGGTTAGGCCATAGGTTCGCAAGTGTATCTGGCAAACTAGCCCCTCTTTTCAGGGGGGAAATAAAGACTCATTTACCCCTGGGAATGAAAAACTTCTGTAGTATACCCTGCAATCTTTTGCAGCACCCCCATATAAGTCTAGAGCTCCCCCCCAAGAGGCAGTATCACCCACTTTAGGAAACAGTGATACCGTCCACTCTTTAAAATAGGAGCAAGAACCAGTGGTGCTGAAGGAAGTTCAAGCTGCACTGAAAGCATTAGCCAAAGTCAAAGCTCCAGGAATGGATGGATACCCATTGAAATGTTCCAACAAGCTGTGGAAGCCCTGGAAGCAGCCACGTGACCAGGCCAGAAAATATGGGGAAAACCAACTTGGCCAACTGACTGGAAGACGTGCACACCAGTTCCCTATTCCAAGAAAGGTGACCCCCCAGAATGCTCAAACTACAGAACAACATCGTTGACGTCACAAGCAACTAAAGTTCTGCTGAAGGTCATCCAAGAATGGCTGCAGCAGGACACTGACAGGGAGCTGCCAGAGGTGCACGCCGGGTTCAGAAGAGGACACGAAACAAGGGACATCGGTGCTGACGTCACGTGGCTCTCGGCTCAAAGCAGAGAATGCCAGAAAGAGGGTTATTTGTGTTTTATTGACTCTAGAAAGTCAGTCAACTGAGTGGATCATTAGCAAGCAATGGTAGCCTTGAGAAGGATGGGAATTCCAGAACACTACAATGCACTGGCGTGGCATCTGTACAAGGACCAAGAGACAGCTGTGTGAGCAGAACAAGGGAACACTGCACGGTTTAGAATCAGGAGGTGTGACTCAGCCTTGTGGCCTCTCACCACACTTACTCAATCTGGATGCCGAGAAAATCATCAGAGAGGCTGGATTATATGAAGAGTGTGGCATCAGGAAGGCTTATTAACAACCTTCGATGGGCAGATGACACACCCGTGCTTGCTGAACGTGAGGGGGACTTGAAGCCCTTGCTGACGAAGGTCAAGGATGCAGCCTTCAGGGTGGATGACAACTCAATGTCCAGAAGACCCAAATCCTCACAACTGGACGAAATAGGCAGCATCGTGATAAACGGAGGAAAGGATGAAGTGGTCAAGGGTTTTGTGTTGCTTAGATCCACAGTCAATGCTCATGGAAGCAGCGGCCAACAGATCAAAAGACCAGCCCCGTGGGGCCTGTGTGAGTGCTTCCTGCACTGGCAAATCCATTGAAACCCACCTGCCGGTGCCCTGACCACAGGGAATCGCGGCACGCAAATCAGACCTCGATGTGGTTGTTCGGGGCCATGTTGGTTCTGACCCATAGTGACCCTACGCACACTGCCCGGTCCTGCGCCATGCCCACAGGCCTTCCTGTGCTTCAGCCCACTGTGTCCATCCGACTCCTCGAGGGCCCTCCTCGTTTTAGTTGTCCGTCTCGTTGAGGGCCAGTGAGGACGAGGAAGGCCCCCCAGGACACCTCAATAAAGCTGCCAAGGAAGCAAAGCCTCCATCCCTCAGCCGGAAGCCAGAGAGCTGTCCCCTAGGGATCTGGGGGTGTGGCGGGTAAACCGCTGGGCTGCCCACTCACAAATGGGAGGCTTGAACACCCTGGCAGGCTCCGTTTGAAAAGGCCTGGCACCCTGTTTCTGTGACGCTCACACAGTCAAGAAAAGCCCCCCAGGGAGGTCTACTTCATCATGGGGGACAGCTCCGAGCTGTCACAGGCTCAGGGACACAGGCCAGCCCAAGAAGAAGTGGCACATCTGGGGACCAATGGGGCTGGTAAGAGTGATTGACTACGGAGGAGGATGGGTGATGGGCACCTGGGGCTTGCCAGGCCACTGCCTCATTCGGTCTGTGTCTGAACATGTCCACAGTGAAACGCCTCTAAAGCACACAAGGGTACCGGGCACCGGGTGTGGAGAACTCTTAACTGCATGAAGATGCGTGGGCACCGGTCAAATCCCACACTGAGAAGGCGCAGGACACTTCCTTCTTCCCCGCGGCATCTGCCCCCAATTCTGGGACTCTGCTGGAATCAGGGAGAAGGGTGCAGGGCCCCACCTGGTGAGTACCGCATGACGGACAGCTGCTCGTTCCCATCCGTGTGGACTGTGACCAAGTCCTTCGTTTCCGTGTCGAACACAAACCACCTGTTTCAAACGTGAGACGAGGCGCCGTCAGCCGCGGAGCAAGGAACGCGATCCTCAGTCTGTGCAGCGGGTGCAAGGCTGCCAAGAACACCTACTGACTGAGCAGGCGGGCTCCCGACCTTCATTCCAGCAGGGGGGTTCTAAGAGCAGGTGCTGCCCAAGACGGGAGGTGTGGACTGATGACCACAAGGACCATGCCATGGTAGGGCCCCGTGTCTGTGGCTTGTTGTTGACATGTTACACGGGGAGGAAGCCGTGGGCAGGGACCTGCCAGGTGCAGGCACATGGAGGTGCATACGTGTGCACATGTGTGTGGCTGTGTGTGCAGGTGTGTCAGTATTGGGGTACATGAAATGTGGCTGTGTGTATGTGTGTCTATAGTGGGTGTGTGGGTGTCTATGAGTATGTGTGCATGTAAGAATGTACATGGTGTATGTGTGTGGTTGGGTGTATAATAAGGTGACCAGACGTCCCACTTTTGGCGGGACAGTCCCAATTTTTGGCGTTTTAAAAAACATCCCGATTTTTGGAAAGAATGCACGACAAGCTAGGGAACGGTCCATATCGACCAAATTTTTAATCAAGAACACGCCCCCACCCCCACCCCGTCAATGGTGTCCCGCTTAAAATCTGCTCACCTTAGTGTATGAGCATATGTGTGTGTGTATGAGTGTGTATATTGTGTGGTGGGGGTGGATATAGGTGTATATGGGTGTCTGAGTGGTCTGTGTGTGGTGGTGGGGTGTGTGAGTCTATGAGTATGTGTGGATGTACATGAGTGTGTGTGTGTGTGTGTGTGTGTGTGAGATGAGCACTAGACTGGGAGAGAGGGTCTGTGACTCTCCAGATGCCCAAAGGTCCAAACTATGGACACCTCCGTTTCATGTGAAGTCCTACTTTCCAGTTCTGACTCAAATTTTGGTAAAGTCATTCGAGGCTAAGATGCAGTCCAAGGGCTACGCTGTGCTGCTTACAGAGAACCCAACGAACAACCCAACCAGCCCCTTCCCTTCGGCAGCAGAGAAACAGCCCCTGCTGGCCTCCACTTACCTCCCAGTCAGTGTTCCCACGGCAACCACAGACCCTGAAGGGTGAAACCCGGAAGACTGGGCTGGATCCTGGAATATCGCAAAGGACTTGTAAATGGACGGCCAGCCAACAGGGCATCCTCAACACAAGCTCTGCTCTGTCCCCGCCTCAGTCTCCCTCCCCAGGAGGGGCACGTGCCCCCCCCCCCAGCCCACATTTCCATCCTTTCATACCTTCTCTCTTCTGGTCCCATCCCCTGCCCTCCCCACCTGCAGCCAGGTGAAAGACAATCATGTGCTGTTTTTCCAAGTCCTTGATTACCTGGGCTGCCGTCGGCGGGCCCTCTCTGCGCAGCCTTATACGCCATAGGCAGCCATGGGGTAGTGGCCTCCCAGTGCTGATTAGGTAGGCCTGCACACACTGTAGTCGAGCGAGGGTGCCCTAACAACCCTCCAAAAACTCACTGCCTTCAGATGGAATGAGACGTACACTCTTTGGTAACACACAAGCCAGTTGCCAGCAACCAAACACAGACAGCTCCCTCCCTGGAGTCCATCCCAACTCACAGCGAGCCTGGAAGACAGAGTGGAACTGCCCCCGTGGTCCCCAACCTGGAGCTCTCCTCCTCTCCTCACCACCGAGTGCACTCTGACCCACAGCCACCCTCCAGGACAAGGCTGAACCGTGCCTGCGTGTTGCCTGGGCTGCCCATCTTTAAGGAAGTCGTGAGCCTCATCTTTCCCCCATGGAGTGGCTGGTGGGTTCGAATCGCTGACCCTGGGATCTGGCAGCCCAAAGCGGCACCCACCATGCCACCAGGGCTCCAGGGCGCACTGGCACGGACAGGGAGGTTTCAAACAACGTTGTGAGAATGATCACTGAGTGCTGCAGAGACACCATGGGGAGCTCTGCCAGCTCAGGGCTGCCCTGCGCCTTCCACTTGGGAAATCGCGGGCTCTGCAGAGCCAGGTAAAGAGAAGGGCAATACAGCGGCCTGCCTGTAGGGGGCCCGGTCTGCCTGGCAATGTGACCACCAGGCCCACTCCCAGTCGGCAGACACTGGCTGAGTGCACAGGTAGATTGGGACCTGCTAGGAGGCTCCGCTCCTGTGATGAGTGAGGCACAATGGTGCTTCGGAGGGGGCACACACGCCCGTGCACCACTACACGATACAACACGGAACCCGAGGGGCAGCGGAGGCTAAACTGAAGGGCTGTGGGGTGGAGGGGAGAGCCGTTCCCCCAAACAGGGTCACACGTGCCATTCACAGTACACGGGACAGAACCGTGGGGGCTTCACAATGGGATGCGGTAGCAGAGCCGAGCTCCAGACAGAGCGGCTGTAACACTGGTTCTCTTGCTTACAACCTCAGCCCTGGTGGCATAGCCGTGTCAGTGGTTGTGAGTTGGGCGGCCAACAGCACGCAGAGTCAGCAGTTCAGAACCACCAGTCACTCAGAGGGAGGAGGGCGAGGCTCACGACACAAAGAGTTAGTCTCAGGAAACCCTGGGGGCAGTTCGACACTGCCCTCTAGGGCCGATATGAGTCCCACTCGACTCGATGGCAGTGAGTTTGGTTTTTGCAAGTCTCTGTTAAGAGCCCAGGTGGCACAGTGGTTAAGCGCTAGTTCGCTAATGACAGGCCTGTGGTTTAAACCTAAAGCCCAGCTGCTCTGTGGGAGAAAGACGAGGCAGCCGGTTCTGTAAATTCCACAGCCTGGAGACACCTGCTCTACCCTGTCCTCTGCGGCCACTAAGTCTGAATCAGCGTGCAGGCAGCAGGCTCATCGGTTCCTTTTTAGGCCTCAATTTCCCGGAGAATAAAATCTGTGTGAAAACAGAATGAAACAGGAGCCGCTCGACTGTGCGAGGCTCTGTCCGGATTACAGACGACACACATGGCATCGAGAGTGTCGCATATGGGGGTGCTTGGTCCCTGCGAGGTGTTCTTTGTGGGCAGAGGCCCCGGGGCATCGGACTGCCTTCTGCCCGGCGCACAGGGATGCTGCGTTTAAGAATGAGAGCCTGTTACTTTGCGGTCGGACTCAGAGGCTGCAGAGGACAATGAGACAGTCTGTTTGCAGAGCCCTCTGGCTCTCCCAGGAAGTACACTGGGGGGGAGGGGGGGCCACATGAGAGTCCCCAGATTCTGGACACCCAAGAACTCTGATGGCTCCCACCCCCGTCCCTGTGCATCTGAGGGGCACGAAGGAGTAGCCCTCTGGGCCGGTCCTGTCCCACTCCTAACCTCCTGTAGAAATGGCCTCACTCTGCTCCAGGGGAACGGGCGGGCCTACCTCAATGACCTTGTCCCAAACGGGCCGGTGATCAACAGCATCCCAGAGGGTGGCGTGCCTGTCGTGCCCACAGGTCAAGAACTGGGGCTTGGAGGCATGGACAGCTAGGCCCCAGAGCTCGTCTGTGTGACCCTGGGGAGACCAAGGCAAGTGAGGGTCCTGGAACAAGGCATCCCCAGGGAAGGACGTTGTCCCGTGGCCGGGGCGCCTGGGATCTCCACCCCAACAGCCCCTCTCCCTCTGGACACTCCCACCGGGAACCCTGGATCACTGCTCTCTCAGCCCTTCTCTCGCGTGATGTGCCCAGGGACAGAACTTCGACATGGGGCATGGCTACGGTAACCTTCCTGGACGTACCTGGGTGATGGGCGTGAAGTCCCCGGCCAGCGTGCCCTGGAGAACAAAGTTCCTCGTGGTGCCGATCAAAATAACATTCCCTTTGCCCTCGGCCACCGTCCGGATGGGCCCGAACTGCTCTGGGATCTGCAGTGGCGAGAGTCACGTGAGAAGCCGAACTGCTGGATCTCGTCAATCCGAAAAGGGAGACGCTTGTACACATCCCCAAAACCCATCGCCAAACCCAGAGCCCACTGCTGTCGACTCCCAGAGACCCAACAGGACCGGGCAGAACTGCCTGTTGATGTCTCCAAGGCTGCAGGCTTTACAGAAGCAGACTGCCGCCTCTTTCTCCCCTGGGGTGGCTGCTGGGTTCGAACTGCCAACCTTCTGAGGAATGGCCCAACACGTAACCCTCTGTGCCACCAGGAATCCATGCTCCTAGCACAGACACGATCATATGTGAACGAATCAGCAAAAGCCCACACCTTCCTTTCAAACTCCAAACGTCCTGGGCCTCTTAAGCAAGAGTGAGGGTGTTCACAGAAAGAATAAGTGTGTTCTTCGATGTGTTAGTCCAGGTGAACCAGAGAAACAAATTCATAGACACTCACGTGTGTGTAAGAGAGCTTTAGATAAAGAGTAACTGTACATTAAGAAAACATCTCAGCCCAGTCCAGAACAAGTCCAGAAGTCCGATATTGGCCCGTATGTCACCGTACCACTCTACAAATTCCTCTTCAGACTCACGCAACACGTGCAATGACGTTGTGTCCAGGAAGATCGCAGGCCAGTGGGTGGAGAGTCTTGTGAATCCAGTGGCGGTGGAAGCATCTGAGCACTGGCGTGGGTCTCCACGTGGCTCCTCCAGCTCCAGGGCTCTGGCTTCCATCAGCGTGGCTCTATGTGGCTTTTCAACAGGAATGTCTCGCAGGGAGTGAGCGTGTGTCCCGCCTCCAGCGAGATATTTATCTCCTTAGTGCCTCCAAATGAGGTCATCAAGCTGTGACCTGATTGACAGGCTAAACTCCACCCCTTCGCTCTTAATAGTCTCAAGTTGACACCGGATGATGTAGCTTCCACACTCAACATCACGAAGGAACACGGAATAAGGTGCAGCTCACTTGTCCCTGTCCCTCGCTTGGGCTGCTGACGGCAGCGACAGATCCAGCGTGGAAAGCGCAGCACAGCGGGACCTAAACCCGCCCACTGCTGTTGAGTGGATGCCGACTCACGATGCTGATTCACGTGCTGCACCACCATCAAAAAAAAAGTTGCTAACAATGCATCGGAATGTAAAATGGCCTCTTCTTTGCAATGTACCCCGGTTTCAAAAGCTGTTGGTCATGACAGTAAACATAGAAATGGCATGCCAGTGAGTCTATAGGATACAGCAGATCTGCCCTGTGGGTTTTCCGAGTTTGTAAATCTTGACAGGAGCAGAAAACCTCATCTTTCTCCCTTGCAGGGGGCTGGTGAGTTCAAACCGCTAACTTGTGGCGCGTGGCACCAACGCTTAACCCACGATGCCACCCGAGCTCCTTAGTCCGTGCACAGAAGGATGTCCAAGGGCCTTCTCAAAGTCAAACTCGCCGCCGTGAGTCTATTTGACTCATCCCAACCCTACAGGATGGGGCAGCACTGCCCCTGTGGGTTTCTGAGACTGCAAACCAATAGGAGGAGAAAGCCTCGTTTTTTCCCCTCAGGGGGGCTGGCGGTTTCAAACCGCTGACCCTGCGGTAGGCAGCCCAATGTGTCACCACTGCACCACCAGGGTTTTGTAGAGCCCCCCCAGAGAAGAATTTGCCATGATGAAAGAAAGTTCCGGCACTGAGGAGGGAGACAGGACCTGTGCTGGGCCCCCGAGTGAGTGCAAGCCCCAGTCCTAACAGGGCCACAGCCCTCTCCCCGGCAGCCTGTGTCCCCAGGGTGCTGTGAGAGCACGGGGCTGAGAAGGCTCACGGGAACCTGGGCTACTGAAGAGGAAGCACAGAGAATGAAAGAAACAACCCAGGGAGGGCCTGGGAGGAGGCCCTGCGCTCTGCAGCTTTGATTGTCCACTCTGTGCCTCGGTCCCCTGGGGCCCGGTGGCTCAGTGGTTAGGTGTTTGGCTGTGACCTGGAAGGAGGGCCGTTGGAAGCTCCTCGCTGCTCCTCGGGAGAAGGACGAGGTGGTCTCCTTCTGCAGGGATGATGGTCCCTGAGAGCCGCCTCGAGCCGGCATCAACTTGATAGCCGTGTGTGTGGTGCTGGTTGAGGTCTACCTTTCTGACACTTGCTACAGGCTCAGCCCAAGGAGGGTCAGCGTGTGAAGAAAGGCCTGCCTCTGCCCGGAGACCACATCCTCTTCCAGCCACGACGGCTGCTGCCTCGGCGCTCACCGTGCAACCAACTTGCTGGGAGAAGTTCAGCTGTGCGGGGCGCCCATTCTGTGCTGGGGATGGGGAGCATGGCCTGGCCTGGGGCTCCGTCTGCTCACCGCCCCCAGGTCCGGGGAAGAGAACCCATCGCACCTGCAGACGGGATCAAGTCCCCAGCTGGAGTCAAGGGGGAAGGTTGGGGCTTCAGCTTACTGAGAAGTGCCATGCAGGACAGGCCCGGTGATCGGCTTCTGGAAGGCCCAGCCCGGCCAACCCCACAAGGTGCATGAGCTCACGGTGAGATGGTGTGTTGGGTTTTGGTAGGAGGCATACGCAAGATCTGGCTCCTCCAGGAAGGCAGGTGGGTTGCCAGGTGGTGCGGTGCAGAGGTGGAGGGTCTCTAAGGGGCTAGAGAGCAGGAGCAGGCGTGGTCCCTGCATGTGCGTTCAGAGGGCCACGTCTCCAAGTCTACACGGTGAGAGGTGGAGCCAGCAGGACTCTGCTGATGAAGGGAACCCTCCCAACGCCCATTGGGAGGCTGAGGTCAGCCCTGCCATACAAGTATTCTTCCATTGATCACCGGATTCCATTCTAAGAAGCCCTGGCCTTGGCGACCAAGGCGCCTGCTGGCACACATTCCAACAAATCTGTCTTTGAAGAACAGCCAGAAAGCTCCTTCGAGGCAAGGATGGTGAGACTCCATCTCATGGCTTTCGGGCAGGTGGTGAGGCGAGACCAGTCCCCGGGAGGGACGTCACGTCTGGTAGAGCAGAGAGGCAGTGGAAAAGTTGGACCCCCGATGAGATGGATGGAGACAGTGGCCACATCAGTGGGCTCAAGCATGACCACCACGGGGAGGGTAGCGCAGGGCCGGGCAGTGTTTGGTTCTGTTAGGAACCGGATCAACAGCGCCTAACAACCACAACCACAATGGCTGGAGCAGTGGTTAAAGCGCCTGGCTGTGAGCTGAAAGCTCTGTGATTCGAACCCCTCGGTCACTGCGAGGGACAGGGAGACGGAGGCCGGCTTCCAGACAGATGGCAGCCTTGGGGGCTTGATGAGGCGGCTCTGCTCTGTCCCATGGGGGCCACTAGGCATCTCCGGAGTCTCTGCAGCAGCACGTTTTCATTGCAGCTGAGCTGCTGCCCCAACCAAGCCGACCACTGAGTCCGTGCTGACCCATAGAGGATCCCCGAGACAGTAACTGTTTACCGGAGTCGAAAGCCCAGTCTTTCTCCCTAGGAGCGGCTGGTGGTTTTGAACCGCCAACCGTGCAGCTCCCAGCCTAACTCATAACCACGACGCCACCAGGGATCCTGCTTGGGAACCCAAAGGGGGGTGGTATTTGAACCTGCAGCAGCTGGGCGAGTAAAGACCTGCAGCCCCACTGCCATAGAGTGACACGGTGGGAGCCCCATGGGGGCAGGAGACCCCGTCAATCCAGGTTGTTGTTGGAGCCCCGGGCGTAGTGGTCACACATTGGGCTGCTCACCCCAAGGTCCGCAGTGTGAGACCACCAGCCCCTCTGCGGGAGAAAGACAGGCTTTCTATTCCTGTGAAGAGCGACCGTGTCAAACCCGCAGGGGCGGTCTGCCCTGTCCTAGCGGGTCGCTGTGAGTGGGGATTGCTCAAGGCGGTGAGTTATTGAGTATCAGGTCGCGCTGAGTCAGAGTCAACTCAAGGGCCCGGAACAACGGCGGCAGCAGTGGCGACGACAGCTTGACGGCACAGAACAGTGACGAGTTCACTGGGGCCGTCGTACTTACAGCAGCAGTGGCGACGACAGCTTGACGGCACAGAACAGTGACGAGTTCACTGGGGCCGTCGTACTGCACAGAACAGTGGCGAGTTCACTGGGGCCGTCGTACTTACAGCAGCAGTGACGACGACAGCTTGACGGCACAGAACAGTGGCGAGTTCACTGGGGCCGTCGTACTTAAGTTGCCGAGACGGTGATGCCCCATAGCTGCCCCCACCGAATCCCACCGTTAGGAAGCCGCCTTGAAAACCCTTAGCAATCCGTTTCACCCTCGCCAGGAAAGGGGCCAGCCTGAGCCTCAAGGTTCAGAGCGGACGTCTGCAGCCCTGCCCGCCCGCCTACCTCGGTCTTGTGCAGCTTCTGGCAGCTGGCATTCCAGGAGATGAGTTTCCGGTCCTTCCCTCCTCCGGACAGCAGCGTGCCGTCCCTCAGCATACAGAGTGCGAAGATGCCGCCCTCGTGGGCCCCTTGTACCGCGTAGCTTATTCGGTTTGTCCCTAAACGCACCAGGAAAACCACCATTAGTGCATGGACCGGGGGCCCGGGAGCGCCCCTCTCAAATCCTGTTTCCTCTATGTTTTTCCTCTCTTCCTGCGGGGGGTCACTGCAGGTGGGGACCTCGCTGCCACAGGAAGCCGGGAAGAGCCCAGCTGAGGAGGATGAGGGTCACTTTACAAAGAGGGAACCGAGGCCCCTCCAGGCAGAGTGAAGGAGGGTGCCCGAGGACACACACTTTGAATTTAAGTCCTAGCTCAGCAGCCCTGCAGGTGCCCGGTGGCTGCAGTGGTTAGAGAGCTGGGCTGCCGACCGGAAGGAAGGTAGGCAGTTGGACTGCACCGCTGATGATGACATTCAATTTGCCCATTCTACTCTGTCCCACGGGGTCACTCTGAGGGGGGCCACCTGCCCTTGTGAATGGAGAGCCCGGGACAAGGGCCTGACTTGCTCATGGGGCGGGGTACCACTCCCCGCACAGCACTGTCTGCGGGTTAAGCAGCCAGGTCCCCGGCAGCAGGGACACTGCACATGTTTCTTTTCTTTCCGGCCTTCACAAGAGCTGGGGAGGCCTGGGGACACGGGCTGAGCTGCTCATGCAGGGTCAGCAGTTTGAAACCACCTGCCACTCGGAGGAAGATGAGGCTTTCTACTCCCGTCAAGATTTGTCGTCTCAGAAACCCACAGGGGCAGCTCCACTCTGTTCTGCAGGGTTGCTGTGTGCCAGAAGTGGCCCTGTGGCAGTGGGTTTGGTCTGTACTAGCTAGAAGATAGTCCCCCACATGGCCCCTGAATGGTCCCAGTTGTTTAAGGAGCTCTTAGGTGGGTCTGTCGGGTGAGCGTTGGGCAGCTAACCGCCAGGTTGGTGATGTAAACCCACCACTCGCTCCTTGGGGGAGAGATGAGGCCGTGGGCAAGCCTGGGAGATGCTATAGACCAGTGGTTCTCAAACTTCCTAACGCTGCAACCCTTTCATACAGTTCCTCATGATGTGGTGACCCCCAACCATAAAATTATTTTCACTGCTACTTCATCACTGTCATTTTGCTACTGTTATGAATCAGGCGACCCCTGTGAAAGGGTAGTTCGACCCCCAAAGGGTTGCCACCCACAGGTTGAGAACCGCTGACCTAGAAGGTCAGTAGGAGTCAGAAGGCCTCAAGGGCAGTGCACTGGTTCGGGAATCACACGCACTACAATGGTTTTGCCTCTTGCTCGGAACAATACAGGGGCAGCAAAGAAGAGGCGGATCCTTTGACGAGATGGATTGACACTGGGGCTGCAGCGATGGCTCAAACATGACAAGGGTCGTGAGGATGGCGTAGTGTTTTATTCTGTTGTGCTCAGGGTCGCCTTGAGCTGGGACCGACCTGATGGCACCTAACCATATACCAACAGGTGGCACTGTTGGTAAGAGTTGGATTGCTGACTGCAACCCCGCCAGTTGCTCTTTGGGAGAGAATTGAGGCTATCTACCCTCATAATGATCTGCAGCCTGGGAAACCCCATATGGGTCTCCGTGAATTGGGAATGGTGCCGGTGAAGAACACAGAGTCCCCTGGACTGCCCAAAGATCGGACAAATCTGTCTGGGAAGACGTACAGCCAGCATGCTCCTTAGAGGCAAGGATGACAAGACTTTGTCTCAGGTACTTTAGAAATGTTGTCAAGAGAGACTAGTCCCTGGAGAAGTGCATCGTGTTTGGTCAAATAGAGAGGCCACGAAACAGAAGGCCCTCAACAAGACGGGTGGACACAGTGGCTGCACTGACCAAACAGGAGAACAACTGTGAGGTGGTGCAGGCCTGGGCCGGGTCTCCTGTGGGTGCACCTAGGGCCCCTGGGGGTCGGAACTGCCTCGATGCACCCAACAGCAGCATCGGGAGTTGGAATGGAGTGGACCTGGTGGCGGTGGGTTCAGGTGGCACAGTGGGAGAAGTGTGGGCCTGCTAACCACCAGCTGGGCAGTTCAAACCCACCAGCCTCTTGGAGAGAGAAAGATGAGGCTGTTGACTCCCAAGAAGATTTACAGTCTCAGAATCTCTACATCGTGTTATTATGAGTCAGAATCAACTTGTCAGCAGTGATTATGTTGGGTGGGTAGATTCAGTTTAAAATAAGGTTATAAAAATACCTCATCGACTCACTCCACAGGGCTCTTAGTAGGGGCAAATACAGTACCAGGTGGAAATGCTTTTAAATTGGTTACAGATTTAAGAAGCAGTGTCTGTATTACATATTAGAATCTACGGTTCCTGCATAAATCTATATAAATCACAATATGACACATTCTGTTGGGACATAAATCTATTAAAACCAAACTCACTGCCATCGAGTCAGTTCTGGCTCCAGCGGACCCTTCAGATAGTGACAGAGTAGAACTGCCCTTTGTGTTTCTCAAGGTGTAAGTCTTTACAACAGGAGAAGAAAGCCTCATCTTCCTCCCATGGAGCTGCGGGTGGGTTTGAACCGCTGACTTTGTGGTTAGCTGCCCAACATGTAGCCTACTGTGCCTCCAGCCAGCGGTCCTATCAAATACATTAGAATCTTTAAAGAGCAAAACCATTGCTGTGCAGCTGTCTCCAAAGGCCACCTACTGCCACTCGGTTGTTCGGCCTCATACTGACCCTAGGCAGGGTCCCCCTTACCCTCACTGTCATCAAGGCGATGCTGACTCACAGAGACCCCACAGGCGAGGGTGGAACTGCCCCTGTGGGTTTCTGAGACGGTAACTCTTTACGGGAATAGAGAGCCTCGTCTTCCTTCCTCAGAGTGGCTGGTGGTTCCAAACTGCTGACCCTGCAGTTAGCAGCCCCGCGTATAACCAGGGATCCTCTGCACAAATATTTTTGAATCTTCACAGGAGCAGACAGCCTCATCTTTCTCCCAAGGAGCTGCTGGTGGATTAGAACTGCCAACCTTGGGGTTAGCATTCCAACTCTTACCCGACAGCTCCACCAGGGCTCCTCAGCCTTTCATACATGCGCATTCGATGCCATGTGGGTCAGAGACATCATCCCAGGGTCTGAGAGGGGGACCCCAAACCAAACTCACTGCCAGCGAGTCCATGCTGGCTCAGAGTGACCCTATAGGGCAGAGCGGAACTGCAGAAACCCAGTGGGTTTCTGAGACTATCACTTTTTATAAGAGCAGAGAGCCTCGTCATTCTCCCTTGGAGTGGCTGGTGGATTCCAACTGCTGGCCTTATGACTAGCAGCCCAACGCGTAACCCCCTCTGCCCCCAGACCCCAGTCTAACCCACAGCTGTGTAGTTCTACTCTGTCGTACGGGGTCGCCATGGCTGGGAATCGTCAACAGCGTTATCAGGAGAGCTATAGAAAGCGATCACGAAACCGTAGCTGTTGATAATGCCATCACCTGTACCACAGGTAGAACGACCCCTGGGGTTTCCAGGGTTGTCGCCTTTCAGGAGGCAGACTGCCTCCTTGTTCTCCTGCAGAGTGGCTGGTGGGTTTGAACTGCTGACTTTTCAGTTAACAGCCCTACCACAGCGCCTCCAGGCCTGCTCATAAGACCCATGACTCCTGCTCTTCTTCCTCCGGCCCCTCATGTCCTAGCTTTGTGGTTTCAGGTGTGCACACACGCCTGCATGCCCCCACCCCACCTTTGGTGTTACAGGGCATGTTCATGGAAATCCCGGCTGACCTCCCTCCTTGTCACCAAACCTGTTTGGGGGACCTGCGTCTGGTTCGTTACCTTTTCCCCAGACTAAGATGTTGCCGCTTGAGTCGCCGGTAATGGTGTCACCGTTCTCGGAGAAGGTCACGCAGAGGACAAACTTAGGCTTCTCTTGTTTCTGCATAGGGTTACAGATGCAGACACGGTCTCAGGATGGCCTCCGATAGGTGTCACCGGCCCTCCGGCTGCTCGAGGCGGGTCTTCTGGGGCCACAGAACAGGCCCGGCATTTTCACCCACGGGGCTGCTGACTCTGCCAGGAGGATGTTTCTGGCCACTCCAGTGGCTGGGCGGTCCCCACAGTGCACAGAGCTGTCCCCCAGTAGGGTAGAGCATTAACTAAAGTGGGGGTGCTGACATCAGAACGGAGCTGCGGCCCTCCAAGTCAACCTCTGGATGGCACTGGTGAGGGCCCTCATAGGGAGGAAGGCAAGCTGTGCCACCTGGTGCTGTCACAGGCCCCCCACAGGCCCCGGCGGTGGGAGGCACAGAGATGCCTGCCCACCCTTGGCCATGGGCACCTGGACTTTCGCACTCTCTGACCACCTGCCTTCTCCCATGCTCCCCCCCCCTTCCCTGGCCGGGCTATCCTATTCCTTGGCATTACTACGGTCACCCTAAAGACAGAGGGGTTCCCCAGCCATGCCAGAGACCCCGGGGGCTGGTCTTCCTCACCATACTCCCAGCTGTCTCCCCACAGTGACCAAGGGAAACACCTCTGAAGACGGGTGTTTCGAACTCCCTTCACACCACGCTGACACCCCCCCACCCCCCCACCCCCGCCGCCCCGTTGGGTCGGTGAGGAAGGAGACAAAAGGCAGGGCCTCTGAGTGTTACCTCAAACAGCCCCTGCTTCTTGATGAGGGAGCTGCCGTCCAGGGTCCAGAAGTAGAGGTGGGACTTTCCACAGGTGACGATGACGTTGGTGTCAGTGGGGTGGAAGTCCGCGGCAAACACGGCTTCGTTAGAGCACTTGGAAAACAGTGGACGAGAGGCCACGGGTCACTTACGAGGGTGAAGGAAACCTGCAAAGCCTGAACCTCAGGCCATGAGCCCATCCACGCCCAGCCAGGAGGGCTTTTTGCTTTCCACACTGAACTCAGTCCCTTGCCGTGGGCGTCCTTCTGGGTGGCAGAAATGCCCATCTCTCCATGCCACTATGCCCCTTTCTGCCTGCCTACTGGGCACTGTGCATCGGATAAGGAAGGCTGGGGAGGACTGAGGAGTCAGAATGATGGTGCTGGTGAGAAATCCTGAGAGGACCGATGGCCAAGGGGACCAACAGACCCGACTCGTAAGAAGTACAACCAGAAGGCTCCTTTGAAGCCACGGCAGCGCGGCTTCATCTCACGGACTTTGGGGGTGTTGTCAGGAGAGACCGGGCCTGGAGCAGGACGTCCTGCTTGGTCAAGTGGAGGGGCAGCGAAAGAGAGGACGGCCCTTGAGCTGGGCGGACACAGGGGCTATGACGAGGGGCTCGGGCTCACGAGCAATTGTGAGGCTGGGTGGGGCTTTGTTCTGTTGTACGCAGGGTCTCGCGCGGAGAGTCGGAACTGACTCGCAGGCACCTAACTGGATTGAGCAGTAAGGCCGGCACCCTGCGTCCTCACGGACACCTGGGAGTTTGGGTCCAGGCCGCTGCAAAGAGTGACAAGCGCATTCGGTTTTCGGGTTCTCGGAACATATAAAAGTTAGGTCTACCTGTCTGTGGTCTAGGAGGCGTGCCAGAGCATCACGAACGAGTTTGAGATACCGGGAAAGTGCCCGCCACGTGGGGACACAGAGACAGGGAGCATGCGGTGCCGTGGGGGAAACGGCGCCGGCCAACCTGCCCGACCACACATCTCCCGCTGGTGAGAAGCCCGGTAGCCACAAGGCGCAAGAAAGGGACGCACCCTAAGACGCTGGTGCCCACACGTGTCACAGGCGGGCCAACAGCTAGCTGTGGGCAGAAAGGACACCATCAAGACCCTTTCCAGGCCACTCCTGGTGAGGACGAGGAAGGATCGGGTGCACGTGACCGAGCATGTTCTATCCGTGGGAGGCATTTTGAAGGTCAGGGTGGAAGACGCTTGCACGTGTGAACCCTCTTTAAACAGGAGTGCCCGTAAATAGAAGGCTTTTCCAGGGCACAGCTGACGGCTCGAGGCCGCCTGGTAGGCACTGCTCCAATAGGACTCTTTATTTTATGATAGAAAGCAAAGCACTTCTGTCAGTCAACCTTCTGATGGGCTTTCTCGCCACCGACCTATTACCAAGGGCCCCAAAGCCAGAGGAGGCAGAGGAGGGGATGGCTACCTATTAAGACGTCTTAATGGCATTTCGATATCTGTGCACACCAGTATACATTCCAAAACTGTTCTGTACGTCTGACTGTACATCTTGTGACAATGTAGCTCTGTGGACCCTAAACTTAAAAATACCAAGAGCACTCCTTTTCCAAGCTAGGGGGAAAAACATAACGTAATCGTTACCTTTAGGTACTTTAAAATGCCTCAAGTTTCTGGTCAAAACACTGCCCCTTAGGGGTGAGACCAGCCCAGAGGGGCCCAGCCGGATGGTGTCTGGGCAATCAAACGTGGGCCAGTGCACTCAGAAAGTGGGACAACCACCACGTCGCCCTTGAGGGGTGCTGGGAGGGACCCAGAGGGACCCATCCTCTGCAGCAGAGACACGGGGGCCGGGGTGGGATGTCAGGGCTATTTAGAGACTTGGCAGGCACTTTGTAGAACCACCACAACAGACCAGTGGCCGTCTTTTCTTAGCTCACTCTGCTGTGGACACCCCCGTGCTGGCTGGCTGTAGCGCCCTTCTACCTCAGCCCTCAGCCTGAGGGGACTCAATGGTGAGCCCCCACCACCGGCAGCCTTGGGGCAGGAAGCACGCTCCATCTGGCAGTGCCAGGGGCTGCGCTGTCTCTGTGGGATGCACAAGTCAAAGGAAAAAGATGAATGAGAGGTAGTGGCTGTAAGAGGAGTGGGGAAGAAACTTCCCAGCCCTGTAGGAAGCCTTACGAAGGAGGGGCTGGAGGTCTGGGGTGGGGTGCTCATGTCTGAGGGCTGGGGATGTGAGGGCTTCCTGAGAAGAATGAGAAAGGAGGCCAGGACCGGCCAGAAGGGGAGCTGGGTGGACTGCAGATAGAGTGGGTAATGCCAGCACAAACAATCATATCATTGTGAATGAGGGGGGGTGCAGATTAGAGGCCCAAAGCCCATCTGTAGACAATTGGACATCCCCTTACAGAAGGGTCACAGGGGGAGAAGAGCCAGTCAGGGTGCAGTATAGCACTGATGAAACATACAGCTTTCCTCTAGTTCTTGAATGCTTCCTCCCTCCCACTATCATGATGCCAAGTCTACCTGACAAATCCGGCTAGACCAGAGCATGTACGGGTTCAGATAAGAGCTGGAAACACAGGGAATCCAGGACAGATAAAGCCCTCAGGACCAGTATTGAGAGTAGCAATGCCAGGAGGATAAGGGGAAGGTGGGGGGAGAAAGGGGAAACCGATCACAATGATCTACACAGAACCCCCTCCCAAGGGGACAGACAACAGAAAAGTGGGTGAAGGGAGCCAGCGGTCAGTGTAAGACATGAAAAAAAATTATAAATTATCAAGGGTTCATGAGGGAGGGAGGGAAAAATGAGAAGCTGATACCAAGGGCTCAAGTAGAAAGAAAATGTTTTGAGAATGATGATGGCAACAAATGTACAAATGTGCTTGTCATAATGGATGTGTGTATGGATTTGATAAGAGCCCCCACATAAAATGATTTGAAAAAAGGGTGGGTAATGTGTGAGAGAGAAAGAGAGACCTTCACATCGGCCAGCCTCCCCTCCTTCTGCCACTCCCACACGGACAGCACATGGTCGTTGGAGTCATCCACAGCGCACAGGTTGCTCCCTCCATTCTGGAAAAGAAGGGGACCACCTTTGAGAAGACAATGTCCGGGTCGGGGTGATACGTGGGAGGAGCCAGCGAGTGGGGCAGAAGGAGGGCATCCAGGGGCACCAGAGCCCCCACGAGAGACGGGGGCTGCGGACTGTCAGGGCCTGTGCCCTGGGGCCCTGTGGAGGCAGGTGCCATTCGCCTGTGAACGCGACCATGTGTGAGTGATGTCACAATCTGCAGGCTGAGGACGGGTGAGGTCGGATCTGGGGGGTGCCACGCCCTGCGGGGCCCTGGGCCAGCCTGGGGATGAGGGGAGCAGGGGAAGTCAGGGCCAGAGTGAGAGCACCTCTTGGGGACAGTGTGACCATGCCCCAGAGGGGACAGAGTGCTCCATAAGGAGACTGCTCACGTACATTAGACGTGTCCTCAGGAGAGGCCGGTCCCTGGAGAAGGACACCGTGCTGGGTAGAGTGGCGGGCAGTGAGAAAGAGGCAGGCCCTCCATGAGATGGTCGGGCACGGGCTGCCACCAGGGGCTCAGGCATGGGCTCAGTGGTGAGCTGGCGCAGGACGAGGCGGGGCTTTGTTTTGTCGTGCACTGGGCCACTATGAGTTGCACGCACGCACTCCGCAGCCCCTAAAAACAGCAGGGTCTCTTGCCCTCACCCAGTACCGTGTTGGCAGTGGCTGGTCACATTGATGGGGAGTGTGGGATGGCGGGGCCTGAGGAGCGGGAACCTCCTTGCATCCCAGTCTGTACACGCACCCCTCTAGTTCTTGAGAGGGTCAGCCCCTTGGTTGTGTCCCCGCAGCCCCCCCACGGCTCACGCTTACCGATTTTGAGAAAGCAATGCAGGTGACAGCTCGGTCAAAGAAGCCGGCTCCGAGGACGTGCAGCGTGTTCAGCGACACGGAGTCCCAGACGCGCACGTGCGGGAGCAGTTGCTGTTGAGAAAAATGCCACCGTCAGTTGCGGAGGTGACACGTGTCAATCTCTACCTGGAAGCGGAACACAGGACCCGAGCCACCCTTTTGACCTTGCCAAAGGATAGTACTTTTCTGCTCTTGAGGCGCCTGCTGCCGCCACGCGTGCCGCGTTCTCCGGGAGCTGCCCTATGTCAGGGCCACGCGGGGCCACGCTAACTGCCAGAGAGCTCTGCCAAATCCGGCACAGTGAGCAGCCAGTTCTGGCTGACGGTGCTGACATTCAGGAGCCCTGGTAGTGCAGTGGTCACCTACCGGACGGCTACCTACGAGGCCGGTAGTTCAAGACCACCAGCCGGCTCTGCGGGAGAGACGCGGCTTTCTACACCCGTAGAGAATGACAGTCTGGGAAACCCACAGGGGCAGTCCTACCCTGCCCTATGGGGTCACAGTCGAAATCGCCTCGATGGCAGAGTGAGAGTGGGCGGCAGCCCTGGGCTGCTAACCACGAAGTGGGCCGTTTGAAGTCACCCGCCACTCCACGGGGGAAGGATGAGTTCCTGCCTCTGAACCCACAGGGGTGGTTCTACTTCGCCCCTGGACTCGCGATGAGGGAGAACGGACTCGATGGCCGTGAGCTCGATTTCATAGTGACCGCCTCATTAGAACACCCAGAGCCGTCCGAGAGACTGCGCAGGAAAACACAATCTCCTTTGTGGGCCATTTTCTCCAAGTTCACACTGCTGCTGAGTAGTACACATGCCCAAGGCCACCCGGTCTGTTGCCTCCAAGCAATACGACACTGGGCCCCCAGAGCCCTGGTGGTATGGTGGTTAATGTGCTGGGCTGCCAACTGCAAGGTCAGCAGTTTAAAAGCACCAGCCTCTCCAAGGGAGAAAGATGGGGCTTTCTTCTCCCCGGTCCTGCAGTGTAGCTGTGAATGGCTCAATGGTAGGGAGTTGGCCTTGGGGTCTTGGTTTCTGGGCCCCAGATAAGCAAACCAGACACTCAAATGTGCACGAGGGAGATCCAGGGTGACCACGGTCAGTTCAAAACCCTCTTGGTCACGGTCCCTGGTGACGGAGATAAACTCTCCTATAGGAGACTAATTTTGCACAAAAAAGATGCACTCCCTCCTGGAAGAAGGCACCACAAAGCTGTCGGCAGATTGATGAACGATGTGCTGGCCTCGTGCCTGTGGACACACTGGCCAGGGGGTGGGGCTCCAGCCTGGGCTAGACGCTCAGTAGCTGGGGGCCAGCAGAGTGCAGAGAGGCCAGGACCACAGGGGTCTTGTATGTCAAGTGACAGAATTAGCCACAGAGTTGTAACATCTTCCAGGGCTCGAAAGAAACCCTTTCAAAGCCAGACACTGAAAGAACCCTTTCAGCCGCTAGACGGAGAACGCATTATTTATTCTAATCTTAGTGTAAGACATGAAAGATTAATAATAATGTACGCATTATCAAGGGTTCTGAGGGAGGGAGGGTGGATGGAGGCGGGAGGGAAAAAATGAGGAGCTGACACCAAAGGCTCAAGTAGAAAGAAAATGTCTTGAGAATGACGATGGCAACATATGTACGAATGTGCTCGACGCAAATGATTTTTGAAAAAAGAAGAAGCTGAATAAGAAGGTCATGGGTTGGAAGATAAGAAAGAGAAAGTAAAAAAAGTTTTGCTTTTTAACCTTGGTAAATAGAAATGCACACACATCAAATCTACATATGCTTACACACATATAATGTAACTCAAATGTGCTTCCACGCATATAATGTAACTCAAATAGCTTGGTGAGGCCAGGGGATGACAAAAATAAAACTAGGTGAAGATGTTCTGTTCTATGCATTGACATAATGACCGCACTGCCGCAGCGTTGATCGTGACTCCGAGCGAGCAACCCCGCTTCTGTGGGTTTCCGGGGCAGTAAATCTTGATGAGAGCCAAAAGCCTCATCTTCCTCCCAAAGAGTGCCTGGTGTGTTTGAACTGCCGGCCTTGTAGTTAGCAGCCCGATGTATTACCCACTAGGCTACCTCAAGGGTAACAGTTCAAAGCCACCAGCAGCTCTGAGGGAGAAAGAAAGCTTCGACTCCCACAAAGAATTACAGACTCGGAAACCCACCGGGGCATTTCTACTCTGTCCTGCAGGGGGTCGCTGTGAGTCGGCATCGACTGCAGGGCAGTGAGCGGGTGTCATTGATTCCTTCTACCTCTTTTCCCGAGTAAAATTTTAATGAAAAGTAGCATCCATGACTATTGGAAATGCAATAGATGAACACGATGTGGCAACAACGGGCTCAGAGGTAGCCACAGATCGTGAGGCTGCCGCGGTGTCCTCGGTTGGACACAGGTTGCTGTGAGTCGCAACTGGCTCCCTACCACCAGAATGATAACGACAACGTCGTCAACGATTCCCTGAAAGACGGTAGCTCGTGCTTTGGTAACGACAAGAAAAAGAAACTTTTTTGAAGCCAGGAATATGATATGCTGTAGAGTAAGTAATAAGGTCTGTCAAATTATTGTCCCCAAAAGTCGCTAAAGAATTCTAAATGAGACACGAGGACCCGAACAGAAGGCGGGTGATAAGTTGGAGGCCGGCTGGCGCACAGGCTGATGCGCTCGGCTCCTACCCAGAAGGCTGGCGGTTTGAACCCCTGCAGCCGCTTCGTGGGAGGAAGCTGAGATAGTCTGTTTGCAGGAAGACACCAGCCTCGGAAACCCCAAGGGCCGCTCTCCTCTGTCGGAGCAGACCTATTGGCAATAGACTGGGTGAGTGCTTTGCGGTGGGCTGGCTGGGAAAAATGCAAGACCCATTTCCAATTGCTCTGGGACTCATTCATGCACTGACGTCCACTAGTCCCCTGCCTGATTCCTCAAAGTACAAGTATACGTCGTGGGAAGCGCCTCTGGAATTTGTGCTGACCTCACCGCTAACGGAGAGTAACTCCCTGCGCTGAGAGGGCCTCTCTCAGGACCTGTCCAGAGGCACTGGCTTTTACCCCGATGTTGGTGGAACTGGGCATTGTACAGTGGACTACTGAGGTAAGTGTAGGACTGAGCGGATCCTCGGGCGAGAACAAGGCCGCGTGTGCACATTGATGTGAGCTCAGGCGGCTCCTATGATCACTGTAAGAGTCTGTGATTTCCATTCAAACCACCTAGGGAGGGAGCCATTCTGGAAAAAAGTACGACCAGAGTGCTCCTTAGAGGAAAGGATGGCAAGACTGGTTCTCACATACGTTGGACATGCGGTCAGCAGAGACCAGTCCCTGGAGAAGGACATCAAGCTTGGTAAAGTGGAGGGGCAGCGACAGGAGGAAGGCCCTCAGGGAGATGGACCAACACCGTGGATGCAACCAGGGCTGGACGTGGCGGCACCCACCCACAAGGAGGGACTCAGAAGGACCCAGGGCCTCTAACGATATCCAGGCGGGCGGATCTACCAGCCAGCCACTGCTTTCCGGCCGCCAGCGCATAAGGAAAAAACGAAGAAAAAAAAGAAAGAAAGCCGAAAGACAACTCACTTTCCCATCCTTCGATGTACCTGCCACTTGTCCTGTTGCTATGGTGATCCTGTCCGGATGAACCGCGAGGCTGAAAAAGAGGGGGGTGGGTGGGGAAGAAAAGGCTGCTTATACAAAAATAAGATCGACATCCCTTTCAAGGTAAGCGCTCCTCTCCCCTGGACCACACCTTATCTAACCCGAACTGTGAACTCGGTCACAGCCGCGCTCGCCCTCCAGAGCAGGGAGGTCCCGGCCAAGCGTTTGTGTTTGCTGCGGCGCTGTAGTCTGGGCACTCGCAGGCCGTACAGAAGGCAGAGAAGCGCTGTCCCCAGAGATGCCCTTCGTGGGACAGCCCTGCAGCTGGGGTCGCCTCCCGGGAGGCGGGAGGCGGGGCTTACCACTTGACGTCATCATTATGGCCGGCGTAGTGCCTCTGGAGCTGCTCCTCCACGTTGTACAGCACGACCACCGACGCGATGAAGTACACCGTCTCCCCCGTGGGGAGCAGGTACAGGTTGTTCCGGCAGTCTCGACCCCGGTACCCGTAGCTGAGTGTGTGCGTCAAGACAAAACTGGTCCTTTTCGCCAACAGCCCAGACACTACCTGTGTCGCTCGGCTGCCACCACCCGTGCCACTCGTTCAAGTTACAGCCAGCTGCACATACTGCCAATGCCACGCACACCCGCCCTGACGCCAGGAAGCAGGGTTGGAGGCGGCCACTCGCTGAATTAGCAGGATGAGGAGCCCTGGTGGCAGAGCGGTGACTCGGGGGGAGGGGGGCGCCATCCTCAAGGCCCCCAGTTCGAAACCACCAGCCTCTCTGCAGGAGAAAGAGGAGGCTGCCTGCTCCCGGAAAGAGGCACAGTCTTGGAAGCACACTGGGAATTCTACCCGTCCTCTAGGGGTGCTCCAGCATCCACTGGAGGGCAGTGAGCCTGGTTCATAGTGATGTCTATTTCTATTTACATTGTGGCTGGGTGCCGTCGAGTCGGTGTTGGCCCACAGCGACCCTGTGCACATCCGCCTGAAACATTGCCCAGGCCTGTTCTTACACACACACACACACACACACACACACACACACACACACACGGAGCCCTGGTGGTAGAGTGGGCCGGTGCACACTGGGCTGCTAACCACAGGTGAGCAGTTCGAAACCACCGCTCACTCCAGGTGAGAAAGATGAGACTTTCTACTCCCCTAGAGAATTACAGTCTGGGGAAATCACAGGGCAGTTCTATTCTGTCCTGAGGGGTCACTATGACTCAGAATCTACCCAATGGCAGCGAAACAACAAGAATTGCATATGGAACTTACTCCTGAAGAAGTGAAGGTAGTTATAGCTCAGATTAGTCTGAAGAAAACTGACTAGAAATTCTTTAAGGAGTCCTGGGTGGCACCGTGGCACACTGCGCTGCTAGGCGCAAGGTCAGGAGTTCAAAACCACCAGCGTTGCTCGGGAGGAAGAGGACGCTTTTTACTCCTGTCGAGAGTTACGGGCTCGAAAACCCAGAGGCACTTCTTCTCCGGCCTTGCAGGGTCTCTGAGAGCCAGAACGGACTCATGCCAGCGAGTGTGAGAAGTTGTAATGAAACAGATTGCCTAAGAATGCTGGAATATTCTGCTAAAGAACAAGGATCTCCCTTCTTTTTCTTGTCTGCTGCTTCTGTTACATTCCTCTCTATTTCCCGCACTACCTGCTCAGACCTGCTTAACTGACATAATAGCCCATGGATTCTCCCTTTTGAGTCATTGGTCTTGAAAGAGAGGGGAGGGAGTGGCTCTGAACTTGGATCAAGGGAGGGATGGAGACAATGGAGTCTTCCATCTTTCAACTCTCCACATGGCCCTTCCCTTGAGACAGATTCCCAGCCTTGGGCTGCAGGTGGCATGGCTTTGTGGTCCCCCAGAGCCACTGTGCCTGTTCCCAGCATCACAAGGGGAAATGCGTTGGATCTTGTGGTAGTTACATAATCTGGTGTCCATTTGGGACTTGATAGTGAAGGGGTGGAGTCTAGTCTGTCAATCAGGTCATAGCCAATGAGATCTCTGTGTGGCATGGCCTTCTCCTGAGGATTCTGGGAACTCTGGCATTTTTCCTCCTTGCATCTGGGAGACACACGCTCTCTGTGCTCACTCCCTGAGCGACGCTCTACTGACAAGACACATAGTGCTACACCCTGAGAGCCAGAGAAGCCACATGGACCTACCCTGATGCAACCAGACCTCTGGAGCCAGAGAAGCCATGTAGAGACCCCTTCCAGCACTGAGATGCTTACAATGCCACTGGATCCACAAGACTTCCAACTCCCTGGCCTGTGACCCTCCTGCATTTGGCATCATTGCATGCATTTCATGAGTCTTCAGAGGACTTTATAGATTGGTATTGGACATATGGGCTAATATTGGACTTATGGACTTGATCTGGACTGGGCTGGGACATTTTCTCAATATTCAATTGCTCTTGTATATAAACCTCTTTCTCATACACATGCGTCTCCCTGGATTTGTTTCTCTAGTCTACCTGGACTGACACCGATCTTATTCTAGTGTGTGGCTCATGTAGCTGGTTTGGAAAACACAAGATCCATCAACTAGATCGTTTCCATGATTAACCACATTCCAAGAAAAATTGTCGGGCTTTGATATTTCTTCTAGGAGGGGCTCCAAAGAGTTCAAGGGCAAAAAACCCCCAAACTGGAATAAAAAGATAACGGAACTTTCCCCCATAAAGTCTTCCCCCCTCCACACCACTCAAATTCAGTAGTTTAGTCGTATGAAGAAGAGGTGGGCAATCATCACCACAATCAATGGCAGGACAGTTTCCTCTTTCTCATACTCATCGCTGGCAGCTCCCCACTTCCCCCCAACCTTTCCTGCCATGCCTCTAGGTAATTGTAAATCCAGTGACAGTCTCTACAGTTTCTGCCTGTCTTGCATGTCATGTCCTGAAGGCCATACAAAGCACAAACAAGCAATGAATGTACAAATGCGCTTTACACAATTGATGTGTGTATGGATTGTGATAAGAGTTGTATGAGCCCCTAATAAACTGATAAAAAAAAGAAAACCAAAATAAAACAAACAAACAAAAAGAACCCAATAACCAAAACCAAGTATGACAAAACAGAGAAAAGCCTCCATTGCAAAGAAAACAGAAAATACTAAAAAGTGAAACAACTTGAAAATGGGTCCAAGGGGAGATCAAAAAGGAGATCAAAGATGGTAAGGTTTTATATTTAACCTAACAACTCACTGCCATCGAGTCAATCCCGGCCTGGCGACTCTGCTACATCTACTGAAATGGACTTTACGATACTCTGTCTGATCTCCAGGCCGTCGCATCCCTGGACGATGGTCAGAGCGATCCACCAGAGGCTCAACCCACACGGGGACCCAGAGTTTGGGCTTCCACGGTCATGCATAGCCTTCTGAAAACCAAAGGTTCAGAACTGACGCTCTGATCCAGTTCCCTCCTCCGGATTTGGATTTTATTATTCACAATCCTTGGATCACACAGGCTGGTGTGCTTCTTCCACGTGGACTCGTTTCCCCAAGAACGTTTTGAAGCCGCCTCTTGTTTTCAAGTACTGGAAAAACACTTATAGAAGCTGGCAGCCGGCTTTTGCAGCTCTTCGTGAAGAAGTCAACTAGGAGTTTAATTTTTACTGCCATTCAAGAGTTAGACCTTTCATTGACAAAGAATGTCATTAGACAAAAATCTTCGTAAAAGGCGCCGACAACACATTTGCATGCATAAAAGATAAAAATGGTCTCCTTTCCTCAAACTCTTGCCAGCAACTTAACCATTCTTGCTAAGATCTTATCCCGTATGCTTCTAAGCTGTGACAATTATTTTGGGAGCAAAACATCACTGTACTTGAATACAACTCCCCACCTCACCCCCACCATCCTTTATTTCGAGAAAATCCCACTGTTTCATATCTTCTAAAACAGGATTAGCAAGTAATGTTCTGAATGTGTTTACGTTTGTTTTAACCAATTAAAATAATTTTTAAAAATCAAACCGAATCCCTTCAATTGCGTATGCCAAAACAGATTACAAAACAGGTGCCTGGTTCAATGCACAGGGATCTGAATCGGGGGCGGCAGGAAGGGGGCGGATATGTTTTGGGGAGGAGATACAAGTGATCACTTTTCCTCAAATTCCAAATAGGATTCCATCCCACCCGTGGACCTGGCTATGTCAAGCAAGGTGACCAGTGGGAAAAACCAGGCCTGTTGCTTTCACACAAATCCTAGTTCACACTAGTGATTCTTTTCATCACGCTCGCTTCTCCCTAAGTGTGGAAGCAAGTTTTCACAGGCACTCGCTGTGCGACAAGTGAGATCTGGTACCAAGTGTGCCTTTAAGTTGGACCTGTAGGTAAATCCGTGAGGATGAGAAACCTGGCCCTCCCCATTCGCAGATCAACTTAGGACGCCCCCTCCCGCCCGCCTTTGCTAAGGCCCTGTGCCGTGTGCGCCCCCACACGTGGCCGGTCCGTCAGCCTAGAGAGAGACCAGGAGGGTTTGTTTGCTCAGAAAGGACACTTCAGAGGACTGGCGCTTTCCTGGATCCGAGAAGAGCCCACGTCCGAAACAAAGGATACACCCACTCCAGCCTCAGTCTCTTGGTGGGGAGCTCCACTCTCGCTTCCAGGTTGTAAGAATCCACCTGATCCCTGGGCATGTACATGGTCACAGGGCGTCCCCGCAGGAACATCTTCACGTAGCCTTCCTCTGTGAAGAGAACAGGCAGGTGGTTAGACGGCCCTGTGCTCAGGACACCTGGAATCATGTGGGTCTCCTCTGGCCTCGTACGATACCAGTGAGGGTCCTCTCAAAATACCAAACCCACTTCCCTGCCATCGAGGGTGCTGACTCAGAGTGACCCTACTATTCAGGGTAGGACTCCCCCTGTGGGTTTCTGAGACTGTCAGTCTTTACGGGAGCAGGCAGCCCCATCTTTCTCCCAAGCAGCGGCTGGCGGGTTTGAACAGCTGCCAACCTTGACCTTGGTGTTAGCAGCCCAGTGCTTATCCCACAGTGCCACCAGGGCTCCCTGGGAAAGAACGGGGCCCCAACCATCCCTTTGCACGAGAAATGTTGCTGTTTAATATCTGCTGATCATCTAAACCCCAAACACGCCCATTGTTGGCCGGTTCATTTCCACTCACGGCAACCCCCAGGTCAGAGTGAGAACAGTCCCATGGGGTATCCTAGGCTGCCATCTTTGCGGAAGCCAAGTGCCGCAGCTGTCTTCTGTGGAAGAGCCTGGTAGGATCAGCTGTGACTTCCCGCCACCAGGAATTCTGCTTGTCACCAGGAGGGGAAATGAAGACGTCGCCCCAAACACTGACAGCACCAGAAACCCACTTGAGGTTTGTGACTGAGTGCAACATATATAGAACACCAACATCAGGCTTCTTAAAATCTTCCACTATTTAAACAGGCCGGTTTAAACTGCAAAGATCAATGTCATCTTTTTCTCACAAGGGGCCATTCTGCCCAGGGTAAAGGTGGCGAGGCCGCAGCGTTCCGTGCTAGGGCACATGCACAATGGAAAATACTCGAAAGAAGCTCAACAGGGGAAAGACTCAGGAGAGGGAAGCACGGGAAATCAGAAACATTTCCATAAGCAAACACCTTCGGACGTTCTCCTAGGTGAGTCCCGGGGACAAAAGTAAGAAACGAGGAAACTCCTGGCACGTGCAAACCTCCACCACCAGCAGCACCCATCCTCCCCACACTGGAGGCTCTCCTGACTCATGTTTTCCGGATAGAATAAGACCATATGAAGGACCTTGTGGCCCTTGAAGACTTCTGTTCGTACTCCGGATGGGAGGAATGTTAATTGCCATCAATACCTTACTTAATGGTGGTTAGATTGGGGCCAGGGACACCTGCCAGAGCTCGGCAGAAACTCCATCAGCAGAGCATGGAGGAAGCTGGCGAGGGAGTGTCACGAGGTACCTCTGGGCTATGAGCCCACAGTCACAAGTTAGTTTTGACGGTCTTCTTCCTAAGAGTCCAAGCCAAGCCACATGCATTGTTGTGTCACAGGCAGTACTGTCCCGGTGTCTGGGGCCGTGGGCATGCACTCAGGTCTCAAGGCATGCACGGGAGGTGCACTTCGCTCTGCAGAGATCTGTCTGTCGCAACCCTCTCTCAGATCTCCAGCAGGATGCGTGCCCCAGCTGATCCGTCCTCCCCAGATCCCCAGGGACAGGCTCACCTGAGGTCCCATCCCCACAGGCTCACATATGCCTCCGCCCACACCCATGGATTTCCCTGCTTCCTACCTGCTGACCCTAGCCTTCCACAGCCCCCATGCCTCCACTGTCCCTCCATTTGGATGCCGTTCACCATCCCCACCAACTGCCAGGCAGCCTGGGCCTGCTCCTGTCCCCGCTATGGCTCCGGGCCCCAGCCCTTCCCCTCCTTAAGCCCTCACCCACATCTCAGCCCATCGGCCTGCCAAGTCTGGCAATGGGAGAGCCTAGTGGTGGCCTCCACATTGGGGCGAGGCATGAATACAGGGCAGGTGTGGCGGGGATCAAGCCCGTGGGGAGCTCTCTGAGAAGGAGAGAGCACAGGTCATTCCTACCACACCTGAAGTCCATGGTGGAGGCACGCACCTCAAGTCCACACTCTGCCTTGGGTCTCCCCTGACTCATAGCCACCCCACAGGGCAGAGAACTGTGCCATAGGGGCTCTGCAGCCAACTTCTTACAGAAGCGGACTGCCTCATCTTTCTCCGGTGGAACGACATGTAGGCTTGAACCACTAATGCTGAAGTCAACAGTCCCGCGTGGCATCCACTGTGCACCCAGGGTCCTGCAGGTAACTCACACCCATACGGCACCCCCAAACTCTCTGCCTTCAAGTGGATCCCAACTCATAGAAGCCCGGTAGGGCGGGGGAGAACTGCCCCTGGGGGTTTCCAAGATTGTAACTCTTCACAGGAGTAGACAGCCCCAACTTCCCCCCACAGAGCGGCTAGTGGGTGCAAACTGCTGTCCTCGAGGTTAGCAGCCCAACATGTCACCCACCGTGCCATCAGGTCTCCTCCTGTACCACCTCACTGCCACTGAGCCGATTCCAGCTCACAGCAGCCCTCTACGGCAGGGTCAGTGCTTTCCGATGCTGTCACTCTTGAGAGGAGTAGACAGCGATGCTGTCACTCTTGACAGGAGTAGACAGCACGTTCTTCTTCCTGCTGAGTGGTTGGTGGGTTCAAACTGCTGACCTTGTGGTTAGCAGCTCAGGGCTTAGGCCACTAAGCCACCAGAGCTCCTACTCGGTCAACCGGAGGTATGCAGATAACCGTCAGCTATGACAGGTGTCATCTGTGCTCAGGTGCCTGCTAAGAAGGCCTCACAATGGAGGGCCTCTTTAGTTACTGCAGAGTCTAAATCACCCAACCAGCCCAAAAGAAGTTGAAAAGCCGCGAGGCTATCCTAAGTGCTGCGGAGTACTGGAAGTGATGTTTTCCTTCACAGCCAAACTGCAGCGAGGAAAAGTGAATACTATTGTATTTCCAGGCATGTTAGAATCAGAGCACACCCCCTCCCCCTTCCCCGACAAACCCCAAGGCACTCAGTGGGAAGGGAGGGTGGTCGTGCAGGGAGGGTCTCAAACAGCGGGGCACCCCGTGGACCCCCTCTAGCTCTCATGACGCAGACGCCGGGGTTTCACGCTTCCTGTCCTCAGCCAGTACTCCATCAAGGCGAATCCCAGTGGCTTACAAGAGCCCGGCCAAGGAAAGACTAGCAGGGCTTTGAAAGGGAACTGGCAGGCGCCTCCCAAGGCCCATTCACAGGAGGAGAGCCACGGCCTGGCGGTAGGAAGGCTGTTTCTGGGGCTCCCCCTGGCTTTGCGCAGAGAGCTATGGGGGTCAGGGCGCCGCCTACCTTGGCAGTGTGTCACCCGGCGTTTCCCTTGGGATTTCGGAGACAGAGACAGAAGGGCTAGACAGAGAGACGGAGAACTGCAGAGGCCCGCCCGCTGGGTCGTGGAGTACAATCACGACCCGTTCAGGGACTAGGCCGGGGCACTCAGACCCTCTGTATCGGGCACAATCTCATGCTCCCTGAAAATGTAGTGCCCACGAGCGCACGTGTCTGCAAACCCAAAACGTCCAGCCCCGTTTCTGAGGTTCCAGGGAAAATGGGAAGTGTCAAATGGAAGCGAATTGATTGAACCAACAGAGCCCTTGCCAACTTGCCTGCGCTTCCAATGCATTTCTAAATAAGGTCAATGTGCTAACAGACAAACAAACGCACCTACTTGTCAAAAAAGAAAGAAAGAAAGAAAGCTAGATGGGGGCGGGGGCTCTTTGCAGTCCCCCTGGTGTCTAAAAAGGCATATTGACGACTTCTTCGTGGGAAGTTTAGAAAACCAGAGGCGGAGAGGAAAGTCACCTGGGGGCAGAGTTGCCCTCGGGGCATCAAAAGCACGGAGGACAGAGCCCACGAGGTGAGAAGGCAGGCCCAGCCGGCCTCTTGTGTCCCAGGACAGGCGGTGGCACATCACTCTGCCCCCTTAGTGACAGGTGTCCAGGTGGCTGGACATCTGCAGGACAGTCTATGCAGGTCTCGCTGTTGTCACCTGCCCTGATGACCGCCCCCACTGGAGCTGACCCCCAACCCACCACTACCAAAGCCCCAAAGCTTCTGGGTCACTGTCCATCCCCTGAAAGGGCTACTTTTGATGTGTCCCCCCCTGTCCCCCCAGCTCTGACCAGAGTGTCGGGGGCACCCATCGGAGGACAGGTGAGTGGGACCTACCTGAGCTGAACACGGGCTCCTTGGGTTTGCTGTGAAAATGAAAGAGAGACAGTTTTACAGGCAGCCTCGGGCATCATCCCTGACCCTGGACCCCACCCTACGGCTGCACCGTCTGTCACCCAGCGATGCAGACAGTCCACGTGGGTGTAAGGAAAGCGTGTGTGAATACGAAGGACCGAGATGGGGCTCGAGAGATATTGGTCCTACAGTCATTGCCGACACCGCGCTCTTCACGAGAGGAAATGCACACACATGGGTTTAGGGGGAAGGAAGACACTTGGTTCATCGAGGGAAGCCTACTGACTCATGGTGACCCTACAGGACAGAGAAGAACTGGCCCCACAGGGTTCTGAGACGTTCCTGTTTGCAGGAAGGGGCCCTCACCAGGGCAGTGCTCTTTCCTAAGCCCAAACCAAACTCACTGCCATTCAGTCATTCCGACTCATGGGCACCCTGCAGGGAAGAGGACATGGTCCGGTGGGGCTCCCAGGCTGTGAATCTTCACAGGACCGTAAAGCCTCATCTTTCACCCCCCGAGTGGCTGGTGGTTTCAAACTGCTGACCTTGTGGTGAGCAGCCCAACACCCATGTAAGTCCTGTAAAATGACAGGGAATCCTCCCAGTGACTGGTAAGGGGTCAAGTTCACAGAGCTGACAATGAGACCAGATGGCGTGGCTTCCAGCCGCAGTCAGTTCACTGGAGCAGTGCACCAAACTGACTGATGTCCATTCTAGACCCTTAGGGCAGCGACCTTAAGAATGGGTTCCTGAATCGGTGGTGGGTAGGTGCGGACTGTGGGCGCTGACACACAGTGGCCCTGTGCACAGCAGACGGAAGACTGGCCAGGGTGTGCCAGCCTCATCACGGCTGTTCTGTTGCAGTCACTGTGCCACCCGACCTGTTGACGGTCTTCCTCCCTTTTTGCTGACCATCTACTTTCTACCAAGCATCAGCCCTTTTCTAGCCTGGTCTCTCCTGGTAAGATGTGCAAAGCACGTATAACAAAACCTAGCCATGTTCGAAGCTACAGAGCATGTTCCTTCTTCATCAGTCCATGATACATTCAACATTCTGGACCAATATTCTGTACTTCAAGAGCAGACACCAATGCTGCCTACAATCCCGATGCCGCCTTTCTTCATGCAGCCCGCCTCTCAGAGCGGACTGTGCTCAGTGTACACTAGGCAAAGGCATTGGACTGTGTGGATCATAACAAACTGTGGATAGCCTGGAGAATTCCATAACACTTCATCATGCTCATGCGGAACCTGTGACATGGACCAAGGGGCCAACATGATGTGTTACTCTGGGTAAACTAGGGAAACAAATCCACAGAAACTCATATGTATAAGAGAGAGTTTTATATAAAAGGGTAAATGTGCATTAAGAACACATCCCAACCCAGTACTGTCCAAGCCTATAAGTCCAACATTTGTCCATATGTCCGACACCTATCTAAAAAGTCCTCCTCAATCTCACAAAATACACGCAATGACTCTGACTGCAGGAGGAAAGCCAAATCACTGAGCATGTAAGCATCTCAGCACTGGCAGGGGTCTCTATGCTGCTGCTCCAGCACCCAGGGCTGCATCAGAGTAGGTCCATGTGGCTTCTCCTCAGGGATGTCTCAAAGGAAGTGAGCCTTGCCAGCTGAAGCAAGGAACTGGCTAAAGCAGCTGCACCCTGGTCCGACCATCAGAAAGCAAGAGACCCGAGAACTGCATGGTTTAAAATCAAGAAGGGGTGCATAGGGTTGCATCCCTCACCATATTTATTAGACCTGTATGCTGAGTAAATCATCAGAGACGCTGGACTAGATGGAGAAGAATGGGGCATCAGGATCAGAAGGAAGGTTTATTAGCAACCTGCGAGGTGCTGATGACGCAACCTTCCTTAACGAAAGTGAGCAGAACTTGAAACACTTGCTGATGAAGATGAAGGACTGCAGCCTTCAATATGGACCACAGCCCGGCGGTGTAAATAAGAGCCAACTCCTCACAAAGGGGCCACAAGTTAACATCATGCTAGACGGAGGAGAGACGGGGCTGTCCGGAGTTCATCGTGCTTGGGTCCAGGGTCAGTGCTCACGGAAGAGAGTCCAGCGGTCTTGGGGTCTGCTGCACAAGACCTCTTGGAAGTGCTGGAGGCTCCGGAGGGCACTTTGAGGACTGAGGTGCACTTGGCACAAACCACCGTTCTCTCACTGGCCTCCTGGGCTTGTGAACGTTGGACACCGGCTAAGGAGGACGGAAGAAGCAGCCATGGATTTGGATTACGGTGCTGGGAAAGACGATTGGAACACCGTGGGGCTGCCCAAAGAACTGACCAGTGTGTCTTGGAAGAAGGACCGCCACTGTGTCTTAGAATCGAGGCTGGTGAAAGCTGTCTCACCTACGGTAGACAGTGGACGTGTTGTCAGGAGCGACGAGTCCCAGAAAAGGACCTCGTGTCTGGTGAAGAACAGTGTGGAACAGTGAAGAAGACCCTCCCGGAGACGGGCTGACACTTTGTATATTAGGGTTGCTACTGTTGGATATTAGGGTTGTTCTGAGTCAGAACCAAATTCACAGCAGTTAACAACAACAACAACAACACACAGATTAAACATCTGCAGTGAAAGGAAACAGGCCAGATGCACACCTTCACGCCCAGCCCCACATAAAGGATGTCTGGGGCACGAATTCACTTGGATGGTGGATGAGAGCCTTCCGATGTGTATGTAATTTGTCTCTAGTTACCTATTCCTGGAAAGAAGTGTGTGAGTGATGTGACAAGTCTGACAATGCGGGTGTGGTCCCTTGATGGGGAGAAAGCCCCCTCGTGGTCTCAGAAGATCAGGCGATGAAGGCCTCATCGAACCCCGGGTGCTGCTGGGGTGGGGTGCCCCTGACTCAACTCCACTCTCAGAGACCCAACAGGACAAAGAACTACCCTGTAGCCTTCCCTACGGGAGCAGGTAGATGGCCAGACCGTTCCTCTGCACAGACAAACACATGCCGGCCCGGAGGTACTCCCCACTCGCGGAGAGCTTGCGTCGAGCTTTTGAAGCTATCCATCTTGGCGAGAGCGGACTGCGCCACCTTTCTCCCACAGGGTAGCTGTTCGGTTTGAAGGGTCCAACTTCCGGGTAGCAGCGCAACGCCTAACCTGCTGTGCCACCAGAGGGCGGGTGACCGGGTGAGTTCTAACAGCCAGCATCTCAGTCAGCAGTTGAGTGCTGCACCAGTGCACCCCAGCGCCCCTGTGGACACGGAGTCGATGAGAAGTAGCCAAAGGCCCTGCAGCAGGCACCGAGGAGAGGCAAGGTTCCCTGAGGACTCACAAGTCCCATCCCGGGGGCATGCTGCAGGGAAGTGGTGGCCACATCTCTCACACAAACAGCTGTGCAGCCAGGGTGGGTGTTCGTCGTGCTGTTTCGGCGGGAGCACTAGCGCTGAGAGTGGACGCCCGCCTCGGCTGATTGGCTTGGCAGGTGATCTTAAAGACTTACATCAAACAGACTCAGAAACTGGAGCTGGTCTTGAGACAGTGGGAGGAGACCAGACAACTGATGCAAAGCAAGACAGCCTCCCCTCCCGCCCCCACATGGCCCTCGGCCTCAGCCTGGGGGTGTCTCACAGCCACAGAGAGCACTCATGCCAATGACCGCCCGAGTCTGGTCACGCAGCATGCCAACCCTAATAGCAAAGACGAGTTGCCATCGGGTTGGTTCCACACAGGCCAGCCTGGGTGTGTCGGAGCAGACGTGCGCTCCAAAGCCTTGTCCTTTCTAATACAATTTCACTCCCTGTGTTGATGCCGTTGGGACTCCAGGAGCCCTGGTTGGGGTAGGGGGTAGGGGGTTGGGGGTTGTGTGTTGGGCTGTGATCCATGCGATCCTCATGGTGGGTGGTTCGAAACCACCAGCAGCTCCAAGGGAGAAGGACTGGGCTTTCCGCTCCTGTCCATGTTTTCAGAAACCCACTGTGTGTGTGTGTGTGTGGTCACTATGAGTCAGCTCTGGCTTAATGGCAGCGAGTCTGGCTCAGGTTGTGGGCATCTATGCAGCCAACCACACAACCATGCCACAGCTCCGGCACGTACCTGGTAGTCCCCCTGGTTCCACTCCTCTAGTTGCCCAACCACCCACACCTCCTCTCCAGAGTCCTTCCTCCTCTGCCGGCATAAACTCGCACCCTCCTAAGGTCCTTAGCGGTCAACACAGGTCGCTGTTGTCAACTCGATCCCTCAATGAACACAGTGCTCAAGGCAGACCTTTCCTCCAGGTGAGCCAAGGCTTCTTTGGTTTGAAGGAGACCATCAGGGTTTAAGGTTGTGGAAGTTACATGATCTGGTGTCAACTTGGGACTTAAGGGATGAAGGGGTGGAGTCTAGTCTGTCAATCAGGTTGCAGCTTGATGACCTAATTTGGAGCCGCTAAGGAGATAAATAGCACGCTAGAGGCGGGACACACGTACTCTGCTTTGAATCCCTGCGAGACATTCCTGTTGACAAGCCACATGGAACTACGCCTACGGCAGCCAGAGCCCTGGAGCTGAGGAACCACGTGGAGACCCACACCAGTACTGACATGCTTCCACCACCACTGGATCCACAAGACTTTCCACCCACTGGCCTGTGATCTTCCTGCATTAGGCATCACTGCATGTATTCTGTGAGTCTGAAGGGAAATTTACAGACTGGTACTGGACATATGGTCTAATATTGAACTTATGGACTTGATCTGGACTGGGCTGGGCTGTTTTCTTAATGTACAATTACTCTTGTTATAAAGCTCTTTCCTATACATATATGAGTGTCTAGGAATTTGTTTCTCTAGTCTACCCAGACTCACAAAGGTTTAAAGATGGGTTCAAGGTACTAGTTCCAGGGGTTCACCCAACCTTCCCTGGAGTCTGAGAATTTGAAACTCTGTTCTTGGGATCAGGTGTCTTCTACGGAATCTTTGATCAAAAGGTTCAGTCACGGTAGCTGGGCGCCATCTGGTTCTTCTGGTCTCCTGGCAAGGGAGGCGGTAGCTCACAGCGG